GAGTTTGGATTGCTCGCTATGATGTGAGCTGACCACCAGGGGGTGGCACAGAAGATGGTGCTGAGGGAGCGAGGGAAGGAGGAGGCAGGGAGGCGGGGAACCTGATTAGCCCTGATCGCCAGCCAGGCCTAGGGACTTTACCGGTGCATGAATTTTGTGCACCGGGCCTCTAGTTATTGTAATAATTAGTAATTACATGCATTTGCTTATGTATTCTCTTTAAAATATATATTTACTGATTTTTAGAGAGAGGAAGAGAGAAACTTCAATCTGAGGCCTCCTGCACAACCCCTACCGGAGATCCAGCCCACAACCCTGGCATATGCCCTGACAGAGAATTGAACCAGCAACCTTTGGTTGATGGGAACGATGCCCAACCCATTGAGCCACCCCGGCCAGGGCTGTGGATATACTCTGTGACTGCATTTTACAAGTGAGGAAATTAAGGCTCAGAGCAGGAAAGCGCCCTGCCCAAGGTCACACAGCTGGGAAGTGTCAGAGTTGAGATCCAAAGCCACGCAGCTCTGAACCTAGAGCCCACCTTTCCGTCACTACCTTGCTTGCATCCAAGAAGTTTGAGGGCCTTGCCTGTCGCCACCAGGAGTGTAGAATCGCGTAGAGCACTGACCGGGGAGCCAAGAGACAGACAGATTCTCTGCAACCACTCAATTCCATCCATGCAGCCATTTGATGGACACTCACTGAGCACCTTCTGCGTGCCAAGCACTGTTCTAGGCACCAGGGACGCGGCTGGGAACAAAGAAGACAAAAACCCCAGCTTTGGGACAGGGAACAGGATGGGAAGCCCCGGGTGCTGTGAGTGTGTTGACATTTGCACTGAGCTCAGAAGGGGCTGCTGAGCACATAAGCTTCATGGGGGCAGCACTTTGATCTGTTTACTGCTGTGTCCCCACTGCCTGACACAGTGCCTGGCACACAGTAGGCACTCCAAAAATATTGGTTAGCCGAGACCGGTTTGGCTCAGTGGAAGGAGCGTCGACCTGCGGACTGAGGGGTCCCGGGTTCGGTTCCGGTCAGGGGCATGTGCCTGGGTTGCGGGCGCATCCCCAGTGGGGGATGTGCGGGAGGCGGCTGATCGATGTTTCTCTCTCATCGATGTTTCTGACTCTCTATCTCTCTCCCTTCCTCTCTGTAAAAAATCAATAAAATATATTTTAAAAAAATATTGGTTAGTTGAATGAATAAATGAATGAACAAGTAGATAGATAAATAGAGGGATTGGTGGATGGATGAGTGGATGATGGATGGACAGATGGATGGATGAGTGGATGATGAATGGATGGGTGGATGAGTGGATGGATGAGTGGATGATGGATGGACGGATGGATGGATGAGTGGATGATGAATGGATGGGTGGATGAGTGGATGGATGAGTGGATGATGGATGGATAGAAGGGTGGGTGGATGGGTGGGTGGATGGATAGAAGGATGATGTAAGGATAAATGGATGGATGAGTGGATGATGGATGGATGAGTGGATGATGGATGGATAAAAGGGTGGGTGGATGGGTGGATGGATGGATAGCAGGATGATGTAAGGATAAATGGATGGATGCATGGATGGATGCATGAATGCATGAGTGAATGAATGAGCTTGCACAAATACCTACAGATTCACACACAAATGTGACTCGAACTAAATGCAGTCTCACACCCACAGGCGCGTTCTTGTGTGTAAACACAGATGCACCTCTTCTCCGGGTGCCCATGGAGAGAACAAGCACTGGGGGGAGAGGCAAACCCTCTGACCAGGCTCAGCCAGCCCCTCCCCCCGCGGTGCTGAGATAATTTCCGGAAGAGGAGGAAATGCCGATTCAGGGATTCGTGTCCCAGGCTGTGAGCCGGCGGGGGAGAGGGGCGTGCGTGACAGAGGGAGGCAGGCGGGGCTAAGGCAGAGCAGTGGACCTGGAGAAACAGAGTTGGAGAAGTGGAGCAACAGAGACAAACACACACACAGAGACAGGCAGACAGACGTGCGGAAAGGTATGGGGACAGACACAGAAAGATATAGGCTAGAGATACATGAAACAGAAACTCAAATTCAGACACAGAGCGAGATAAGGCAGGGTTCCAAGGACAGACAGGTAGAGAGAGAGGAAGAAACATAACGACAGCCGAAACCGGTTTGGCTCAGTGGATAGAGCGTCGGCCTGTGGACTGAAAGGTCCCAGGTTCGATTCCGGTCAAGGGCATGTACCTGGGTTGCGGGCACATCCCCAGTAGGAGGTGTGCAGGAGGCAGCTGATCGATGTTTCTCTCTCATCGATGTTTCTAACTCTCTATCTCTCTCCCTTCCTCTCTGTAAAAAAACCAATAAAATATATTAAAAAAAAAAAAGAAAGAAACATAACGACAGAGAAATGGAGACACACAGAGGGAAACAGAGATGCAGACTTTAGAAGGAGAGAGAGAGAGAGAGAGAGAGAGAGAGAGAGAGAGAGAGAGAGAGAGAGAGAGAGAGGACCCTTCCATGGAGGAAAGAGAGAGCACGTCAGAAGACGAGGCGCAGAGAGGGGAAGACATTTGCCTGAGGTTGCACAGCCCGGACCGGGCTCAGTGCCGGCCTGTCTGACCCCAGAGTCCAGGTTCCCGCCTCGCCCCGTGTAGCTCAGGAGGACCGAAGGGGCGGGAAGATGGGGCTGGGGCTCTGAGTGTGGGTCACGGCGACAGAGGGACGTAGTCGCTCCTGTATTCACTCAACACACGCGTTCTGCGCTTCCCCGAGGGGTGACGCCGGAGGAGGGCCGGAGGGGAGTTAGGAGCTGCTGGCCCGGCGGGGGAGGCAGACACGGGGTCAAATCCCTGAAAAGACAGACGGAGAGGACAGTGTTCAGAGTCCGGGGAAGCAGCAGAGGAGGCGGAGTCAGAGGCGGCTTCCCGCAGGAGGGAGCATTTGCGCTTCTAGGAAAGGACCAGGGCATTTTCGGCTCCGGGAAAAGGGGGGTGGAGAGGGGCATTCCAGCAGGCACAGCATGTGGGTGCGGAGGCAGGAGTGACCCGGGAGGGATTCGCTAAATGAGAGAATTAATCAAAGGTGACTGGACAATGTTTGAAGGGGTGAGAGGGGAGAGGAGCGCGGGACCAGATCATGCAAATCTCAGACGCCTGGATGAGGGATGGGATGTGGTCCAGGGATGCTGGGGAGCCACGGGGCGGCTGCACGCAGGGGAGGGACAGGTCAGCTCTGGGCACAGAAAGAACCTGCTGGAGCAGCGGTTCTCAACCTGTGGGTCGCGACCCCTTTGGCGGTCGAACGACCCTTTCACAGGGGTCGCCTAAGACCATCCTGCATATCAGATATTTACATGAGGATTCATAACAGTAGCAACATGACGGTTATGAAGTAGCAACGGAAATAATGTTATGGTTGGGTCACAGCATGAGGAACTGTATTTAAAGGGCCAGAGGGTTGAGAACCACTGCACTGGAACCCTGTGGGGAAAGGAGTGGGGACGGGAGCACAGAAGGAGGCTCGGGAGCGGGTGCAGGCAGAGAGGATGGAGCTGAGGGGGTGTCCTGGCCCCAGGAATGAGGAGGAGAGGATGCAGGGTCAGGGGGGCAGAAGGGGTAGCGCCTGGGGGCTGGTGGGCTCTGCGCCAGGTGTGCCTGGGGTGAAAGATGCTCCCTTCCTATACGGATGGGCTTGGAGACAGAAATGGAGGCCAGCCTGATGGGAGACCCAGACATGAGGAGGTGGAAGGGAGTCAGGGCCACAGAGGAACTGAGTCTGGAAATGAGTCTAATGAAGTCTGGACTGTCTTCATTGCCAATGACAGAAACACAAATGACCTGAGCATAAGGGGGAATTGATTGTGTGGGAGAGGGTTTCAGGCACGGCTGGATCCAGGTACCCCAGTCATCATCAGGAATCTGACTGTTGGCAGATGCAAAGACAGGGGTGCCTAATGGGCACCTATGTGGTTAGACCCTTTCCCTGCTTCACTTGGGGTCCAGGAGCCCCCAGACCCTTCCCCTCCAGATCCAGGACTCCAGGCCCCCAGCCCCTCCTCCTTCAGACCCAGGGGTCCAGGCCCCCAGCCCCTCCTCCCTCAGACCCAGGGGTCCAGGCCCCCAGCCCCTCCTCCCTCAGACCCAGGGGTCCAGGCCCCCAGCCCCTCCTCCCTCAGACCCAGGGGTCCAGGCCCCCAGCCCCTCCTCCCTCACACCCAGGGGTCCAGGCCCCCAGCCCCTCCTCCCTCAGACCCAGGGGTCCAGGCCCCCAGCCCCTCCTCCCTCAGACCCAGGAGTCCAGGCCCCGCCCCTCCCCCCCCCCCCCCCCCCCGCAGACCCAGGAGTCCGAGTCCCCAGCCCCACCCCCGCCTTCTGTAGGTACCATGACAACCAAGCCCCCTGCTCACCTTTCCCTCCCCCATCTAGAACCCAGTTTCCGTTTGAATCTTGACCGGGTCTAACCAGTTCCTGCTTGAGACAGGGATGAACGGAGGGCAAGTGGGAACAGAAGGGGGATGACAGAGGGGAGAGGAGCGGAGAGGTGGGGCCGAGGCAGCCCTGCGAGGGGAGGGGTGGGGAGAGATGGAAAAAGGAGCCGGGGGAGAGATGGGGAGAGGGGCCAGGCGACAGGGAGCGGGAGAGGGGGTCAGAGAAAAGCAGGCGACTATGAATAGAGGCGGGAACGGGGGTCGGGGGAGATGTTGGGGAAATTGTTAAAGGAAGAGACTGGGGAGATAGAACCAGGAAGGGGGAGAGAAATGGGGAGGAAGGGGGCAGAGAAACCCAGGGGAAGCCTAGAGGAGAGACGGAGGGAGAGATTAGGAGATGCCAGGGAAACAAAACTGGGAGAGAGGGAGCGAGGGAGCGGAGCAGAGAGATGGGGAGAGAGCGAGGGAGGCAGAGGGAGGGAGAGGGGGGAGCGAAGGGACTCCAAGAGGCAGGGGGAGAGAGGGGAGGAAGCGGGAAAGTGGGAGAGGAGGTCCTGGGGCCCGCAGGGGCTCCCCGCGGTCCTCGGAACCAGGATCCCCATGTGGGCCCAGCCTGCCCGTGCTTCTCTGTGTGCTCCGCCGGGGCTCAAAAAGGAAGAGGAGGCAGCCAGGACGAGAAGGAGCTGGGGTGGGTGGCCCAGTCAGAGCTGCTCTTCCCACCCTCCTGAGACACCCCCCACCCGCCTTCCCAGGATGCAGCAGGAGGTGGAGCCCCTGAGCTCCTCCGCCCTGGGCACCCCCGGCCTGCACAGGGAAGCAGGTACACCAAGCCGCGTCTGTCTGTGTGTGTGTGTGGGGGGGGGGGGGGTGCGTGGGAATTTTCTTCATGTATTGAGTCCTAGACTTGGCCTGTAGCCTCCAGGGAGTCACTGGCCTTCCAAGGAGAGAGCCACCCAGACTCTTAGGTGGACCAGTACCCTTTGAACCTCACACTACATTTCCCACAAGCCTCTGCAGTTCCCTGGCCAATGTGCTGAACACAGAACTACATTTCCCATGAGCCTCTGGGGCCCCCACTCCTCTGAGGCCATTATCTCAGAAGCCTGCCTGATCCCTTACACTCTTCTTTTTAAATTAATTAATTAACTAATCTTAATTGATTCCAGAGAGGACGGGAGAAGGAGAGAGAGAGGGAAACAGCAATGATGAGAGTCATTGATCGGCTGCCTCTTGCATGCCCCCTGCTGGGGATTGAGCCCCTATCCCAGGCATGTGCCCTCGCGGGGGAATCCAAGGTGGCCTCCTGGTTCATAGGTCAGTGTTCAACCACTGAGCCACACCGGCGGGGGCCTCACAGTCTTCTTGTCTCCCACACTGAGCTCAGCATCTTCCCCCAAAGTCACTCCTCCTCCCTGCTTCCCATCTTCTAATGACCCCATCGCCAACTGATCACTGGGCTAGATCCCAGGTGCTGCCCCCATCCCCTCCCACAGCCATCAGTCCCCAGCCCCATCTTCCCATCCCGCTCTCTCTGCCCCACCCCTGCCTCAGCATCCCCACAGCCCCAGCTCAGCTCCTGTCCTTTCCGATGGGCCTTTTCTCAGCCTAACTGCCTGGTCTCCAGTTTCTCCCCTCCAGCCATTGCCCACCTGGCTCCAGAGGGCTCTTCCCGACACCAGCGCGGATTCTGTCTCTCCCCTGCTCACAGCACTCCCTCTTTCCTCATCACGCCAGGGACAGCGCCCCAGACCCTCAGCCTGGTGGTCCAGGCCCCTGGGGCCCAACACCAGCCAATAGCATCAGGTTCAGGTTCCAGGGCTCCCTAATTGCGCACTCATTCGTTCTCCCATTCAACATGCATTGAATAATGTATCTGGGTAAAAGTGCATTTGCCTAGCAGGTAATAGAAAATGAGACTTAGTATCAAGAATAAGAAAGCCATTGTCTCACCCAAAATGAAGCCCACAGGTGGGGTGGGGTTTGGTTGAGTCAGCAGCTCAATGATGCCGTTGAGAGCTGTTTCCATGTCCATGCTCTTTGGTCTGGGACATAGTTGCTTTGCACGCCAGCTAACCTCATGGTCACAGGATGGCTGCCCCAGTTCCAGGCATCGCGTCCAGAGGGCTTCCTCTTCAGATTTCAGATTTCTGAAAACGATTTCATACTTCACTGATCAGCACCTGCTCACTCTTATCTCAATTGCTGGCAGAAGGAATGAAATTATCACAATTTTTTTAGTCAGTGGTCCTCAGCTCCAGCTACCCACCAGGTGGAAGAGTTTTTTAAAACCTATACCCGATTGCACTTCAGATCCAATTTAACTTGAATCTCTAGGATTGGGGCCTTAGCATCTATCTAGTTGTTTTTTTTTTTAATATATTTTATTGATTTTTTACAGAGAGGAAGGGAGAGAGACAGAGAGCTAGAAACATCGATGAGAGAGAAACATCGATCAGCTGCCTCCTGCACATCTCCCACTGGGGATGTGCCCGCAACCCAGGTACATGCCCCTGACCGGAATCGAACCTGGGACCCTTCAGTCCGCAGGCCGACGCTCTATCCACTGAGCCAAACCGGTTTCGGCTACTCTATCTAGTTTTTAAATGTTTACCAGGTAAGGATGAGGAACAGTGGGGTCAGAAGGCATCGGTTTAAATGTGATGGGATATCCCCGAGGGGGATCAGTGAGCCTCCCTTGAGTTGCTTGGGCGAGGAATGGACCCTCCCCCTCAACAGAGGGGAGAGGATAGGAATGGCTGACGAGGTCTCCTTTCTGGGTGTCTGCTATTATAAGCACCTACTCGGTGCCAGGTGCTATACTCGGCATAGCAAATGCCCTGCTTGCAAATCAGACTCCACGTCGCTGTCCTCTGCTCTTGTGTCTTTGAAGGGCTCTATTTTTGGAGACCCCGCCTTCCGTCCTCTCTAACCTGGACTGAGGCACTTACTTGATCAGTGTAATCTGTGTCTAGCTCCAGAGCAGCTGAGTGGAATTGAGTTGACCAGTTGGCTGGTTTTGACTATCAACACGTGTTCATGTTTAGTTTTGCTGTTTTCTTTGTGGTATTTTGAAACCAGTAATGTTTTCAGCTCATCCGGCTGCAGACTTTGGCCTAGGGCAGTGGTCGGCAAACTCATTAGTCAACAGAACCAAATATCAACAGTACTTCAGAATAGACTCGCCCAGGCCGAAAACCAACTTCTGCGCATGGGCCGCGAAGTTTCAATCGCACTGTACATGCACGCCCACAGGTGGTATTTTGTGGAAGAGCCACACTCAAGGGGCCAAAGAGCCACATGTGGCTCTCGAGCCACAGTTTGCAGACCACGGGCCTAGGGCATCAGAACGCCCTGGGGGGTCCCCAGCATTTTGCTTGTAGAGTCTAATGAATGAAATGACGCAGCCTGTTCTTAGGCAGGGAGGGCAGACAGGACACACAGCGTCTCACAAATAATTAATAACCCACCGTGGCCGTAAGTGCTCCTGAGTCTTGGGGCTGAAGAGAATTCTGGGAAGTTCCTGCAGATGGCCATATTCTCTTTTGCATAAAGACCAAGGCCCCAAGGCGGGAGGAGACGGGGAGTTCCAGTCCCGGAAGTGCTTCTGGGATGAGGATGGCCTGCCTGGTCGGGCTGAAGACACCAGCAGGGTCAGATGAGGTGTGGTCTTGTGAGCCACAGGGAGAACTTTGGACTTAATTTACCTGGAGGGTAATGGGGATCTGCCAATTGAGAAGTCTGGGGAGGGAGTGGGCAGGATGATCCGCTCAGCACTTTCAAATGCTAGTCTGCTGGGGTGACGAGAGATGGATTAGGGGGCTGTTGTCTAGACAAGAGTGGGGTGGGAGGCAGGAGCCTGTGGGGCTGGGAGCACGGACTGCGGATCCAGACACCTAGACTTTTATCCTGATTCTATCGCTGTGGGCTCTGTGAGCTTGGGCAAGCCCCTTAACCTCTCTGTGCTTCCATTTCATCATCTGCTCAACTACACCCTCTCAGAAAGCTGTCATGCAGATGCAGAAGAAAGTGCTTGTGAAGGTGCTTGGCCCTTTAAAAGGGACTGTACCCATGGAGTTACTGTTAAGTGGACAGAGGAGGTTCTTGTGTTGAAGGGATGGGGGAGGGGGGGGAGATGATCAGAGAGGCCAACAGGAGTGACCACACACAGGGCAGGTGCTTCTCAGAGGGGATCTTGTTAAAATGCCAGTTCTGACCCAGTCGGTCTGGGGTGGACCCTGAAGGCAAAAGGAAGCCGCTGACGGTTGTAAGCACGGGACGCTGAGACGTGAAAATCACCTCCGCTGCCCTGTGGGAACATGTGGGAGGTGGGGGGACGGGGAGCAGAGCCCCGAAGTCCCAGAGCACCAGGAGCACAGTGCTGACAGCTCAGTGCTGGAGGCGGCCTGTGCCGGCTCACCGGAGCCCATCGCTGAGTTTTGCAAACTGGTTGTTAAAACCATGGGTAGCATGAAATTGGCCATGGTGGGAGTATTGACACCAGGAAAACTGGCAAATGTTGTGATATGTGTGTGTGTGTGTGTGTGTGTGTGTGTGTGTGTGAGAGAGAGAGAGAGAGAGAGAGAGAGAGAGAGAGAGAGAGAGAGAGACCATTGAATGTATTGACTTGTAATGACGGAGGCCATAACACATGCAACATCTGAGTAAGGGGGTGCCAGAGAGGACTTCCTATAGGAGCTGAGCTGCCTTAGGGGACTTTGGGAGGGTCCAGGGAAGCCGGGCTCTGCTCTGGGCCCGATGCCCGATGCTGGCAGGCAGTGGCGGCCAGTCCTGAGGCAGGAGGAATGGATGGAGCTGACACTCTGAGGGGAAAAGCAGCCGCATCTGAGCCACGCGGGGGTTGTTTGGGCAGCGCTCACATTTTGTTGTGTTGAGATGTGATCCCGGAGTGGTCTTCATTGTATCTGGGTCCGTCAGGGTCACGGAGTGGCTGGTGGTGGTGTTCTGTGAAACTATGTCAGCGAGAGAGCAGCAGGGCCTGAAGGGATGCCAGGCCGCCACCTGGCTGTCCAGAGCGGCATTCCCCTTTGTTCAGCTGCTGTAACAAAGAGACCCCACACACAGTGACATTAAGAAGACAGTTTAGCTCTAACCGGTTTGGCTCAGTGGATAGAGTGTCGGCCTGCAGACTGAAGGGTCCCAGGTTCAATTCAGGTCAGGGGCATATACCTTTGTTGCGGGCACATCCCCAGTAGGGGGTGTGCAGGAGGCAGCCAATGGATGTCTCTCTCTCATCGATGTTTCTATCTCTATCCCTCTCCCTTCCTCTCTCTCTAAAAAATCAATAAAAATAACATATTTCAAAGTGAAAGCTATTGTGGATTTCATGGGTGATGGGGGAAAAAAAAAAGACAGTTTATTTCTCTCTTGTGTAATGGGAAGCAGGTGTTCCAGATTGGTGGGACATCTCACCCCTAAGATGACTCAGGGACCCAGGTTCCCTCTGTATTGTGGCTCCCCCATCTTTAGTTTGGCTGAAGCTGGCTTCTGGCCACATCCACATCCTGAACAATCTTCTTTTAAACAAACGACTCCAAAGATGCACCCTCACTCCCTCTAACACTGCGGGTGAGATCGTGGTCACATGGCCACACCTAGGTGCCAGGGAGCCTGGTAACTGTCGTCTCTAGCTGGGCGACCGCGTGCAGGTAGAACTTTAGGACTGTAGAGGAAGAGGAAAATGGGAGGCAGCTAGCAGCTGGCCATAAAGGACCAGTGAGCCGCCTGTGGGGTTGTCTAGAAGGGCCCAGTCAAGTTCCAACCAGGAGGCTTAATCGTATGTGAGGAGCGCTCAGGGCAGCTGGGTTCTCTGTCTCCAGGAGCCCTCCTTGCGGACCTCGAGACCTCAGAAGAGACCCAGGCTTGGAGCCTGTGCAGGCCCAACAAGTCCTCGTGAGTAGCCCCTGGCCCCGTGGTTTCTGACCTCCGGTCCCTGGAGTGCAGCGACAGCGACCCCTGGCCTTGGAGCTCCTTGCTGCCCACTGGCTCTCTCCCCAGGAAGCAGTACCTGCGCCAGGTGGTAGCAGAGTATGAAACGCTGGACCGAGAGCTCCCGTGCATCCGGAAGTTCCTCACGCCACCCGCTGCCCAGCCCCTCTGCCTGTGCCTGGAGATCTCGGTGAGTGGCCCCTCGCCCTTGGGGCCCTGGGTGGGGTGGTGGGAAGGGCACAGGCGCTGAACCAGGCTCTGGGCTTACCAGCTGTGGGCTTGGCACCAGCACAGGTTGCTGAAAAGTGATTGTGAATTTGTTCAAGAGTCAATTGGCAGATGTATCACTGCTGATCCCAGAGGGGCAGAGAGTGGGGAGACTGAGGACAAAGGGAGTCTGCTAACCCATCTACTCTGAAATTCTGTAAAGTTTACAGATATAGCAAACACCTAAGAAAAAGCTCGTGTTTTTAATAGATTCCGCGAACTGGTAATTCAGTGTACAAATCCTTTGGCAGCCCCTGACCTCAGTCAGAGGAGATAACTATTAGGGTCTCGTTCGGGCAGAAGTCAAGCGAGAAGACTGGGCATGAATGGACATTTACTGTGCGCCGGGCACCGCTCAGAGGCCCTCCCTCAGCGATCTGGGTGACTTCACCCCAACACAAGGACTGCTGTCCTCACTTTAGGGACAAATCTCCATCCCATTGTTTCTCTTCTTTATGGCTTTGAACGTGGGACCCCTTTCCTTCCCACTGCCCCCCCAAGACTTGCCTTCCTGGAGGAGACCAATTTCATGACTTTTAGTTCCTCTACAATTTTATATGCCATGACAATGGCATTACCTTCGACATGGTACTCTCATGCTGAAAACGTGATAATGATTAATGTGTGTTTCTGAACATTAAATAGACTCACAGGAAGTTAAAACTCCCTGTGACCCTTAGTTTTTGACAACTGAACATCTAATCCAGCGGTCGCCAACCTTTTGGACCTCACAGACCACCATTGGTGGCCACTGATCTAATCTCTATATATAAAAGCCTAAGCAACCGAATGACTGGTCAACTGGGCGCTATGACGTGCACTGACCACCAGGGGGCAGATGCTCAATGCAAGAGTTGCCCCCTGGTGGTCAGTGCACTCCCACAGTGGGAGCACCATTCAGCTGACCCATGGGCGCCAGACACTGCCTGGCTCATGGATGGCAAGCCTAACTGTGGCGGCAGGAGCCTCTCCTGCCTCCTAGGCAGCGCTACTGAGCAGAGCACAGGGCTGGGATGAGCCGGAGCAGGTGGTGCCCCACTGGGCTGGAGCTCTTCCCCAATGGGTCGCCTGCCACTTCGCACACTACTACACTACGACATTCCCCGAGGAGTCCCGGATTGCGACAGGGCGCAGGCCAGGCTGAGCATGAATCCGTGCACAGGGCCTCTAGTATATGAATATAAGAGGGAAAGTGTGTGACTTAAATCTTTGCGAAAATCTTCAAGAGTTGCTGAAAGCTTGCCGTCCAGTGCAGGGTGCTGGAAAGGTTTTCAGTAGATTGGCAAAGTGGGCCCCATTGGTGACTTCGGACAAATCAGTTGGGGAGAATTGATATTTTGGAGAATGACCTTGAATGACAGTAGATGCGTTTCTCCCTGGGAGATGCCTGTCCTCCCCGCTCTGACGCGAGGGGAACGGGGCCCTCTGCTCAGGTGCGATCCTTGCCCCTTGAATGCCACCTGGGACTCCGACAAGTTCTGCAAGTGGGGTTCGGGGTGGGGACTTCTGAACCCGGAATGAACCCGGTGTCCCCGGCTGAGGCTCGCTCTCCGACTCCCCCAGCCTGAGCAGGACCTTACCCACCTAGAGGTGCTGGAGGCGGTGGAGGCCGAACTACCCGGGGCCATGGAGAGCGGTAGCGTGAGCAGCATCCGCTTTGAGAACATGAACGTCATCTGTGGGACCGCGGGGCGCAGGAACCGGTGAGTCCGCGGTGGGGGGTGGGAGGATGGGGCCTGGAGAGATCAGTCAAGGTCGGGTGGTGAGGCGGCAGGCGGGGCCTAGAGGGACCCGGAGGAGCAGACGGGGGGGGGGACTTGAGGAGAGGGGCGGGGCCGGGAGGGGCGGGACCAACTTAGAGGGGGTGGGCGGGGCTTAAGGGGCTGAGGGCGGGGCCTGGGCATATCTAGAGAAGAACACTATGGGCGAGATGCTGAAGAGGCTGAGTGGGAACAGGGAAGGGAGCCCAAAGTAATGAGTGAGGTAAAGGGGCAGGGCCAGGTGAGGTGAGAGAGAAGGCGGGAGCTGGAGTGAAGGGACTTTGAATCGCTCAGGTGATGACCAGGACAGGCCCGCCGGAGGCGGGGGGCGGGGCCTGGACTGAGGGCATTGCGGGGGCGGGGCCTGGACTGAGCGCAGTGAAGGGGTGGGGCCTTGACTGAGCGTATTGCAGGGGCGGGGCCTAGACTGAGCGCAGTGAAGGGGCGGGGCTTAGACTGAGCGTATTGCAGGGGCGGGGCCTAGACTGAGCGCAGTGAAGGGGCGGGGCCCAGGGTGATTGGCGTGTAGCCGGGGGCGGGCCCAGGGTGGACAGAGAGGGAAGCACCGGCCTGAGAGCCACACGGGAAGGCTGGGCTTGGACGGAGAAGGGGGCGGGGCCTAGAGCTGCGGGGTGAAGGTCTGGCCCGGGAGCGGCGGTTTGAAAGCGAGTAAGCCTCGACAGACCGCGCAGAGAGGACGAAACCAGGCTGAGAGAGAGGACTGGGCCTAGAATGACCCAGTGCGGGTCGAAGGGCAGGGCTGGGGAGGGGTTTCGGGACGGAGGGACGGGTTGAGGAACCGGAATGGGTACACGAACGGGGCATTGCGACAATCAAAGGCGGGCTGGGAGCACCGGCGATCACCCAGCCGTCTCCACCCCTGCCCTTCTCCTCCCGGCCCGGCCCCTCTCAGGTGGCTCATCACCGTCTCGGACTTCCAGACCCGCTCGCGCCTGCTGCGCACGGGGCTCCGCCTCCGCGGGTCGGCGCACCCGCTCCAGCGCCACGACGAACTGCTGCTGAGCGATTACCGCCTGCACCTCCGCCGCTCCCTGGTCCGACGGCGCATGCTCGAGGCTCTGGGGGTGGAGCCGACCGAGGAAGACTGACAAGTGTGGGGGGGCGGGGCGGACTCTGGCTGCGCTTGCGCACCGCCTGGCCGGTTCAGGCTATTCACCCGGAACCCCCTCCCCCTCCCCGGAAAGGGGGCGTGGCCTCCCCAGGAAGGAGGCGGGGCCGGCTCGAGGGGGTGGATACTGTGAGTTTAATTATAAAGAATGACCTGGTACAAAAGCCATTTCTCTCTGCAAAATCTTGGTGGGTAGTCAGGGGAGATGATGGGGGGGAGGGTCGAACCCCCATAATAGAATCCCGCCTTCCCAGTCCTCCCCCGGCCCCTGCAAATGGACGCCTGGGTCCCAGTGCCTCGAGGGATGAACTGAGGCCCGGGTCCCGAACCCAGGCTCGGCGACCAGCAGACGTCCGGACCCGCCCCCCTCTTCTTCCTCTTCCCACCCCCCTTGGAAGACAGTTCTCCGGGCTTTTATTTCAGGTTGTTTTTTTTCTGGATTTTTTGTGTGTGTTCTAGGGTTTTGTTTTTTTTCTTTTTGTATTTTCTTTTGTTATTGTAACTTTTTGCTTTTCTCTCCTCTCTGCCCCGCGCTGCAGCCCCATCCAGTCCCTTCCCCCTCCCACCCCTACCTCTCCTCCCCCCTCCCCACCCCCTACACCCTCCCCAACCCCGCGGCACCCATCCAGAATGAACAAGCCCTTGATAGACGGGCGCCGCGCAGGCCCCCTGCGGACGGGGGGCAAACGACAAGGGGGAGGGGGCGGGGAGGGGCCCAGCGCGACCTCCACCCCCTCCTTGACACCCTTCCCCCCTCCCAGGACCCTCCCACAAGGTTCCCCGCAGATCCCTGACGTGGTAAGGGGAGAGGGCTGCAAGCACCCTCCCCCCCATGGACGGAGCCCCCCCCCTCGGGGGTGGGGGCAGCAGAGGGGGAATGGGCTTGGGGGAAGGAGGGGGAGCTCCCTTCTTTGGCAGCTGAACATGGGGGACCTGAGGGCGATGCCCTCCCCCCTTTACCCACAGTAGGGGAGGGGGCTTCCCAGGGGAAGGGGTGGTTTGAAATTCCCAAGCCCCAGGGATAGAGGGAGGCGGGGAGCGTGCAGGAAGGAACAGCCATGCTGGAGGAGGCAGTTTCTTGGAGAGACTGAAGGGTTGGGAAGTCGGGGTGGGGGTGGGGGGACGGGGATAGTCTTCGTGCAAAATGGAAAGACAGATGGCCAGGAAGGACTGGGAAGAGCGAGAGGAGGGAGCCTGTGCCGGAGGGCAAAGCCTGGAGCCGGGAGAGGGCGCGTGGTGAGCAGGAAGTGAGTGTGCACAGGGGCTCCTCCTGCCAGAGAGAGAGAAGCGCTGAAGACGGAAGAGAACAGGCAGAGTGACGGCGGCGCGGAGCTGTCACAGGACAGAAAACAGCTGCCAGGAACGGACGCGATCAGACAGGCTGGGAGTGCGGAGGGGGCCCCGGAGTGCGGAGGGGGCCCGTGTGCAAAAGGCAATGTTCCCCAAGGGAGATGGAGAAAGTCGCCCAGGAGCGGGCAAGAACAAGTCGAAACTCAGGAACGCGTGTGCAGCAAAGCCAGTGTGCGGGGACATCCTTAAAGAACAGAAAAGGGTTTCCGAAGCGCAGCGGAAATGCGGGAGAATGCGTGTGCGAGGGGGCCCACAGAAGAGCCGATGGGGATGGGCAGAGATTTGGAAGAGGAAGGGGCAAGGGAGCGGGAGCCTGGCGGGGAGGAGCGGGATGAACATGGAGAGAGAAAGAGTTCCTGGGAAGCCAGTGTGCAAGCCACGCGCTAGAAGTGACAGTGCGAGGGGGGGGCGGGGCAAGCAGGGGGAGGGGGTGTCACGTGACAGGCGGCGGCGGGCAGGGGAAGAAAGTGGGGATCAAGAATAAGGGGGCAAAGTGCTTAAAGAAAACCCGAGGCGAGCGTGTCGGGAGAGTTGCGCGCGGGGGACGGCGAGTGTGCAAGGGTTCAACAGAGGACGGTATTCCAGAGAATCCGCGTGTGCACGGAGCCTGTGAGGGGGGGAGGGGGAGGGTGTCCCAAGTGTGTCTGCAGCAAGGGCCCGGAGGTTGTCGGGAGGGAGGGGGATGGGGCGGACGCCGAGGGGAGAGCGTGCAAGCGGGAGCTGGAGAGAGCAGGGGGCGTGGCGCCTGGGGGGAGAAATGGGACGGGTGGGAGGGAAGCAGAGATGAGGCCGAGGGAAGCAGAGATGAGGCCTCGCAGGACAGAAGCCAAGGCGGAGTGTGCAAGACAGCGAGGGGGCAACTTTGTGCAAAATTGTAGCCCGGGGAGGGGGGAGAGGCAAGCAGGCGTGCAAAGGAGCGTGCAAGAGGCTGAGGGGGCCGCTGTGTGTGCTAGGGAGAGGGGAGGCAGGGAGAACGGAGGGGCCTGGAGAAAGGGGGGAAAGGGTTGTTAGAGGGGTGGCAGGTGGTGGAATCTGAGGGCACCCCCTTCCCCTGCGGCCTGGGGAACGGACCCCCCACCCAGCCAGGCTCGGGGCTGGCCCTCTATGGCTCTGTCAGTCCCCCCTCCCCAGAATCGACCCTTCCCTCCTCCTCCTCCATCCCCCCTCTGATTTCTTCCACGCCCACCCCGTCGGCTCCCAGCTGCACACACAATCTCCATTAGCTGCCCCCTCCTGTGAGGTGCAAATGTCTGGCTGGAATCAGGCCACCCCGGTGACCTCCAGCCTCGGGAGATGACGGCAGGGCACAGGTGTAGCGTGGTCCCCGGCCCAGGGAGAGAATAAGGGTCAAGGGTCAGAGGTCCAGGGGCCGGCGAGCCCCAGGGTTCTGTGGACGGGCTGGTCCGTCCAAGCCAGCCATCACCTCTCCAGGAAAAATTTGAGAGCCCGGTCGATATTCATGCGGTGGCCCACCCGGGTCACGCCCAGGTCCACGTAGTCCTCCTTGGTCAGGGCGGGCAGGTGCGAGCCATCGATCTCGTGGTCCAGGAAGCGGGCTCGGTGCTCGGCCAAGCCCAGCCACTCCAGCCAATCAGCCACGTCGAACTTGGTCCAGAACCCCAGAGGCTTGGCGCCGAAAGGCTTGTCCGGGGGCAGCGAAAGCAGGCGGGTCGGTGAGAGGGAGCGGGAGGCCCCAGACAAGGCTCCCCCGAGGCCCCCGGACATCCCCGGGTGCGGCGGCACAAAGACGGGGGCGAAGGGGTCGGCCGAGCCCCCGGCCCCTCCAGTGGGAGAGCTGCGGACGTCAAAGAGGCCCGGGTAGAGGGGTCCAGAAGGCAGGATGGGCAGGGACGAGGGCCGGGGCGCAGGGCTGACCTTGTGCTCCGAAGTGGGCAGCAGCGAGGGGCTGGGGGCCCGGCGGAGCAGAGGTGGCCGCATCTCGAATTCCACACCCTGGAGGTGGCGGCTGGACGTGGAGGAGGAGGCCGAGGGTGAGGTGGCCCCGGGGGCCGCAGCCGCGGAGGGGACCCCGGTCCCCGTGGGGAGTGGCGGCAGGGGTGTTTTGGGCCAGTTCTGAAACAGGCTGCTCACGGGTTTGGAGAGGAGCGAGGACTGGGAGTCTTCGGAGAGTCTGGAATATGACAGGGGTGGGTGGAGGGCAGGGGGTGGGGGTGGGGTGGGGGGTAAGGGCAGGTGAGAAAGAGGAAGAGGTCAAGATGTAAGGAGAGAGGAAGAAAGACATAGGGGCGGGGTAAAGAGATGGAGAAGAGAGGTGGGAAGAGATAGAAGGAGGGAAGGGAGATGGATGTCAGGACAGAAATGAAGGGAGAGAAAAATGAGAGGACAGGGAGAGGGTGACAGTCAAGAGAGATGAAAGAAAAAGAGACATTAAGTGATAATAATAATCATCTCCACCACTTACTGATGCTCAGGTGTGCCAGGCATTGTTCTAAGTGCTTTACATATCGCATCTCAATTTAATCCCCACGACAGCCCTGATGCGGGTTACTATTATTGTCATCAGCACAGAGAGGTTAAGTAACTTGCCTAAGGACACACAGCCAGGAAGTGGCAGAGCCCGGTTAGATGGCACCGAAGTCTGAGCTCTTAACCACTATTCTATACTGCCTTTTAGGGTTATGGCCAGTCACAGCAGAGTGGAAGACAGGGAGACGGTGGGAGAGGAACAAAGAGAGGGTGAGCGTTCAGGGGAGAGAGAGATGGAAGGGGACAGGGAACAGAGAGAGAGAGAGAGATGAGGAGAGGGAGATGAAAGAGAGAAGAAACAAGGGGAGAAAAAGGTTCCCCTCATCCCTTTAGCTCCTTCCAGAACAGTCCAGCCTCAAGGTCTTTGAACTGGCTGTTCCCTCTGCCTAGCTTGCTGTTCCCCCAAGTAGCTCTGGGGTTTGCTCCCCCCTCCCTCCTCCAGTCTCTACTCTTCTTGCTCTTGAGGGACCTTCTCTAACCATCCCCTTAGTGCATTTTTTTTTTTTTTCCTTCCTCCCTGGGATGATTCCAATTATTTTGCAGTCTGGCCTCTACCTGTCTTTGGGCAACACTTTGCCTGTCCTGTCCACTAGGGGCACCCTCTCCCCCATAAGGGCACCCAGCACCCAGTAGGTGGTAAATAATTGGTTCAGCTGTCACCTACACTAAGCATCCTTTTCTGGACCCAGAATCCTTAAGAATACTCAACGGCCCGATAAAGCCACGTTCAAAGGACATCAGACCTTCAAACGATTAGCGTGAGCCCCACAGATGGACAGGGAATTAAAAAACAAGACAAAACACAGCCCTGACTGGTTTGGCTCAGTGGATAGAGCGTCGGCCTGCGGACTGAAGGGTCCCGGGTTCGATCCTGGTCAAGGGCATGTGCCTTGGTTGCGGGCACATCCCCAGTAGGGGGCGTGCAGGAGGCAGCTGATGGATGTTTCTCTCTCATCCATGTTTCTAACTCTCTATAAAAAAATCAATAAAATATATATTTTTCAAAAACCCCAAAAACTTCTCTTCATTCTCTGGGTGTCTGAATCAGGAATGCGACTCCACTTTCCCTAAGACTTGAATGAACTTCAACTTTGTGGCCATCCTGGCTGGCTAGCTGTTTGGGAAACCGTAGGCACCATGGGTATTTCCCCATCTATACTTGGCTGGGTTTCTGTAAGAAGCCCCTCCCCTCCTCCATCTCATGTTACAACAAAGGCCTCTAAAGGCCTTTGGGGGGGGGGGGGGGCGAGGGTGCTATGCTGTCCCCGTCCACAGAGGGGTGACTCCTTTGCCTACAGTCACCCAGTTAGAAAGTGCAGGGCTGGCTTCAGGACCACACACGGAACCACTGTGGCCTCAAGCATCTTGTCTTGAGCCCCGAGGGCTCCAGGGACTTGCAGATTTTCAGGGCTCTTCCGCACTGACAACCCGCGAAGGACACATGACATCTGCAAGTTGTGCTCCCACCTCCCTTGTTACTAACTCTCTGGGTTCGTGAATCAGCCTGTGGGTTGTCATGGTGATGGGAGGAGACCACAGAAGCTACTACAGAGATACAGGGGCGTTTAAAGCACCGGGGACAGCATGCTTCTTTCAGGGCAAACCCCACCGAGCCAGCCAGCCAGCCCGGCTTCTGATTTCCTTCTACCACCACCGGGGATCTTAAAGGAACACAGCTGCGGGGAAGGGGGACTCGGGGACCCACAGCGTGGGCCCCCTCTGGCTTCCTCGCCCACCACCAGCCCCTGCTCACCTCTGCCGCTGCAGGGACGAGGTCCTCTCGGGGACGTAGCTGGCTCCCCCGTGGTGGCTGTCGCTCCCGCTGCCTCCCCGGGCCCAGGGCAGAGCGCCACCAGCTGCCGAGGAGCCCCCAAACTGCTGGAGCTTGGAGCTGAGTTCGCTGATGATGCTGGCTTTCACGGTGGCCAAGGCGGAGGCCTGAGGCGGGGCCAGGGGCCCGGGCAGCGGCGGCGGCGGGGGCCCCGGGCCCTCCTCCCAGGGCAGCAGCTTCCGCGGCAGGGACGATGCAGACGACAAGGGCACCGGTGCGCCTTCTGGCTCCACGGCTCCCGGACCCCCAGTCACACCTGCCGTCGAGGCTCCCGAACAAGCGCTCAAGGCCAACAGCCCATCGGTTCCGGCCCCCGTCACGGAGACGGTGGGGCTCGTGGGCGTGACGGGGTCGCGGAGTCCCCCGCCGTGGCCGGGGCGCAGGCCTCCACTGGCCCCCAGAGCCCGGCCGCGGAGCTTCGAGGGAGTCATGAGCTGCGGGGGGTACGGCGGGCCGGGGGCGCCGCTCCCCCCGAAGGCCTGGCCGTCCAGGTAGGCCACGTAGGTGTCCAGCAGCTCCGGCCCACTGGCCGCCCCGGCCCCACCGCCACCCCCGCCCCCTGCGCTGCCGCCGCCGCCGCCCTCGGCCGACAGGCTGCTCAGCGTGGACGCGCTGCTGATGGTCTCCAGCGGGTGGTCGCTGCTGCTCCGGCTGTCCACCTCCTCGATCCCGGAGTCTGTGCCGGGCGGAGGGTCCGGCCCGGGCTGGGGCGCGGGGGCGGCCGGGGCGGCGGGGGCCGGCGGGCCGGGCGCAGGGGCGTCCCCCGGAGCCGCGGGGGCGCCCTGGGTCAGCGTGGCCACCTCGCTGTCGTAGGAGGTCAGGCTGGAGGCGGTGGAGTCCAGGGTGGGCGGGGCGGCAGCGACGGCGGGGGGCGCGGGCGGCAGCGGGGTGGTCGGGGTCGGGGGGTCGGGCAGGGGGTGCGGAGGCCCCGGCGTGAGGGGCGACTCGGGCTTCTCGAAGCTGTTGGAGAACTCCAGGGGCGGGGGCAGCGGCTCCACGAAGAGGAACTCGCCGTCCTCCACGTCCACGGAGGGGGCGGGCGGCGGCAGGACCAGCAGGGGGAGCCCGTTCTCCTCGCTGCCCCGCGGGGAGGTGGGCGAGGCGGGCACCGAGCGGCGCGGGCTGGGCGGCGCGACCCCCGGGCCGTCCTCCGCGGGGGGACCCCTGCCCCCCGCCCCCCCGGCCCGCGGCTGGCAGTTCTCCAGGAACCGCACGTGTAAGGGCAGCCGCTCGGGCTCCTCGGGGGCTCCGGCCCGCCAGGCCTTGCTCACCCCGGGGAGCGGGGCGGGGGGCTCCGGGCCCAGCTGCAGGAGGAGGGGCCCGACCCCGGGCGCCGTGGGCGGCAGGCGGTGCAGCAGGGAGCGCCGCGCGGCGGGCGGGCTGGCCGCCAGGGGCTTCTCCGGGCCGCCCAGCCCCGCCCGGTACCCCAGCTCCCGGCGGGCGGGGTCCGGAGGGGAGGCCCCCCAGAGGCGCAGCACGGGCTCGTGGTGCGCGTGGGGCGCGTGGTGGTGCGGGGTGGGCGGCGGGACCTCGTAGCGGGGCGACGGGGGCCGGGGAGGCGGCTGGGGGGCGCCCCCGCCCTCCGAGGACTCCTTCAGCGCCCTCTCGCGGGCCGCCAGCGCCAGCCCGAGCGGGGAGGCGGGGTCCAGGGCCTTGCCGGTCAGCGGGTGGACCAGGGGCCGCGGCGGCAGGAAGCTGGTGAAGGCGCTGCTGCCCCCGCTGCTGCCGTAGGCGCGGCTGGCGGCGCCGTAGCCCCCGTAGCCGCCGCCCCCGGCCTCCAGGCGCAGGTAGGGCTCGGCGGAGAACATGCCCTCGTCGATGGACTTGGAGTGGCGCAGCCGCGGGCCCGGGGGCGCGCCCGAGCCCAGCGCGCCGTCGCCGCCCTCCTCGTCGCCCGCGTCGGTGGAGAGGAAGAGCGTGGAGCGCCGGCGGGCCTCGCTCTGCCAGCCGCCCTCCCGGCGCGCCGCCCCGACCAGGGCCGCCCCGAACTGGCTGGTGAAGTCGAGGGTGGCCGGGCCGCTGGGCGAGGCGGGGGCGGGCGCGGGCGACGGGGAGGGCGGCGCGGGCGACGGGGACGCCGGCGCGGGGCTGGGCGCGGAGGAGGAGCCGGCCGCGGCGTCGGGCGGCGGCGGGGGCTCGGCCTCGGTGCTGCTGCCCTGGCTGCTGCGGCCGCTGCTGCTGGTGGACGGGGCCTTGATGATGATGGTGGGGATGGGGATGGAGTTCTTCTCCGACGGCGCGGCCGCGGCGGGCGGCGGCTGCGGGGACGCGGGCGACGTGGGCGAGGGCGCGGGCGGGAGGCCGCCCTTCTGCGGCTCGCCCTCCACTTTGGTCTGCTTGACCAGCGGGCCCTTGCGCCCCCGGCCCGAGCGGGCGGGCACGTACATGGCCGCGCTGGCCGCGCGCGGCGGCAGCTGGAAGTAGCGCAGCGCGGGCGCCTGGGAGGGGCCGCCGCCCGCGCCGCCGCCGTGATGCGACGGGGACGGGGCGCCCGGGGTCGGGCTGGGCCCGCCGCCCCGCCAGCCGCGCAGGCTCGGCTGCGGCCCCAGGGCCAGTCGGGGCGGGGGGTCGTCCGGGGAGCCGCCCGTCTCCATCTCGGGAGGGTGAGGGGGGTGCGCGTGGTGGTGGTGGGGCTGGGGCGGCGGCGCGTGGTGGTGGTGGTGGTGGGGCGGGTGGTGGTGCGCGGGGGGCAGGGGCCCGCTGTGGTACAGGCTCTTCTCGCGGCCGCCCAGGCGGGTGTCGGGAGGGGCGGGCCCGTCGAAGGAGGAGGGGGAGGAGGCGGGGAGGGGCCCGCCGGAGCCGGGGTTGAAGTGCCCGCCCCGGGGGGAGGGCGTGAGGCGGCCGGAGATGGAGGGGGCTGGGGGCGTGCTGTACGGGGGCTCGGGCGGGGACGTGGTGGGAGGCGGGGGGATGTCCTCCGAACCAGGCACGGACAGGCTGCGGCTGAACTTCATGCTCGGGGGCGCTAGGTAAGGCCTGTCGTCTTCGGCGGCCCCTGGGAAGACACAGAGGAGGCAGGAATGGGGCGGGTGGGGGCTCCCTGTTCCCCCATTCCGCGGAGCCACATCATCGGGAAAGTGATAATAGTAACGATGCTGTTGTTGTTGTTGATGATGATGATGACGATAACGGCGCCCATGCATGTAAGACCTTCCCACGGATTAGTCCAGAGCTGCCCCAGCCACGGTACATCCGAACCCGCTGGACACAGTAACACAGCCTGTGCGCGGCCCAACCGCAAACAGCGAAGGGAGCCAAGGGGGCTGGGGTGAGACCCAGCTGAACTTCCACCCCGGGCCAGAAGGGGGCGCCATCTCTAATTCACACAACCGCACAGTCATAGGCTGGTGGCGGTGGCTTGGGGTGAGCAAAAGTGGCTTGAGCCAGGGAGAGATACCATGTGCATTAGGTATAGATTTCTTTTCATGCAAAGGCAGACAAGAGATGCAACTGGCACATCAAACCTGGGATTTCACAGACAGAACTGCTCACGATGAAGCTACTGTTTAAGGGGGAGCTGATGTGGACCCTCAGAGGGAAGGCGGGGGTGGGTGGGTGGGTGAGTGGGTGGGAAGAGATCAACCAAAGACCTTGTATGCATATATGCATAACCCATGGACACAGACAAGAGGGTGGTGAAGGCCTGGGGTCGGGGTGGGGGGTGGAAGGGGGGCTGGTAGGGGCCAATGGGGGAAAAAGGGGGACATATGTAATACTTTCAACAATAAAGATTTAATTAAAAAAAATACAAAGATGAAAAAATAATGGTGTCTCAGCCATTAAGGACCTCAAATTGCGCACACATAAGAGCACGTGGACAAAAATGAAAACTGTAGGAATTGACAAGTGATATGACAAACATAAGATACACACATGAATGAATGAATAAATAAATAAATAAAATAAAGGAGGCTTTGGGTAGGGATGCGATGCTGTGTAGATTTGGGGTGGCGTTAGGGAAATGATGAGATGGAGGCAGGCCTCACAGATGAGAGGCACAGGCTGGTAGACTGTGGACACTGGACGTTCAGGAAAAGCTGGCTCCAATTAGCCAGCCGCCTCAGCGAAGAGTGGAGAGGCGAAGTCCTTGGCCGACTTATCCACGGCCAGGGCTGTCTTTGATCCTCTCCTGCAAGCCTCTGGCTACTCTCTCTCCCTTGACCAGTGTCCCCGCTTCATTCATTACTTCTCTGCTGGAGACTCCCACCTCTGTCTCGGGCCCAATGCTCTCCCCCGAGCTCCCTGCTCCTAGACCTGAATGCCGCATCCGCTTCGGGTCTCACTGGCATCTCGAACTCAGCAGGCCCCTAACTGAGCTCCTGACCTCCTCCTGCCCCTGGTCGCCCCCATCTCAGCAAATGGCAGCTCGGTCCTACCCCAGGGCCTTTGCACTGGCTGTGTCTGCTGCCTGGAGGGCCTCCCCTCTGGATACCTCCATGGCTCCCTGCTTCATCTCCACATTTCAGCCCAAACTTGCTCCCACCAGCACTTGTGATCTCTCTGATCATATCTACGTTTTCTGTTTTTCCATAGCACTTAGCACCTTTAACATATGGTATCATTTTCTTGTTTCTTATCCTTATAGTAGGTTGTCTGTCTTTCTATCATGTAAGCTCCAGGAGGGCAGGGCCCTTTAGTCTATTTTCTACACTGACATCTCTCCCCCTCTCCCCCAGTCTAACCTGGCATGTGGTAGGGCTCAATAAGCACATGAAGAATGAATGAATGAATAAATGAATGAATGAATGACTGGAGTCAAGTATGAGAGAGAAGGAACCAGGGGCTGTGGCGGGGGCAGTCATCTCATTTTCTAGCTGCAGAGCCCTAGGCCCAAAGAAGTGAAGTCACCTGCCCCAGGTCACACAGCTGGGATGGACAAGAGCCAGGATCCAAACCCAGGTCTGCCCAGCGGCAAAGCCGGAGTGCTTTGCCCACCTCCACGGACCTGTGGTCACGTGTGGAAGCGGAAGAGAACACTTCCAGGCCCCTTGTTTCTGCCGTGAACGGTCACCCTTGCAGCCTCCCCTTCCCGCGCCCGCGTCCCTCACACCCACGCTTCCGGTGACGGTGACGGTGCGGGTGACATACCAATAGATTTCTGCCGGAGCATAAGCCCAGGTCCTGGGGGCAGGTAGGAAGGCCGTTCATAGCTCGGCTGCGAGCGGTGGTGGGGATCGAAGCTCGACTTTGGGGTGGCCGTCGGGGAGGAGAGAGAAAAGATAGCAGAGAGAGAAGAGTCAGGGCAGGAGGATTCAGGCTCTGTACCCGGCCAGCCCCCATCCCGGCTCCCTGGCCTTAGCAGGCAGGGGGCGGGGCCTGCAGGAGGTGGAAGGGAATTCTTGTGAACGGAAAGGTTTCTGAGTCCGGGCAAAGGGGAGAAAGAAAAGAAAAGAGCGATTTTTAGTCAACCCTGTTCGCTCTGTTTCCCAGACATCCCGTACACATCTGGGTCCTTTTCTCCATTCCTGCTGCCGCCGCCCAGGCCCAAGTCACCAGCAGCCTGATGACAGCAGTAGCCTCCTCCCTTGTCCCCCCACCGCCTCTGGCCTGCTTTCCACACAAGGGCCAGAGGGACCTTTTTGTTGTTGTTATTAATCCTCACCCGAGGATATTTTTCCATTGATTTTTAGGGAGAGTGGAAGAGAGAGGGAAAGACAAGAAAGAAACATGGATGTGAGAGAAACACAGATTGGTTGCCTCCTGCATGAGCCCCGACCAGGGTCCAGGCCTGGGAGGAGCCTGCAACCAGGGTACCTGCCCTTGACCGGAATCGAACCCAGGACCCTTCAGTCTGCAGGCTGACGCTCTATCCACTGAGCCAAACCAACTAGGGCAGAGGGATCTTTTCAAAAAGTAATTCAGGCCCAGCTGATTCAGTGGTTGAGCATCGACCTATGAACCAAGTGGTGATGGTTTGATTCCCAGACGGGGCCCAGGCCCAGGCTGTGGACTCGATCCCCAGCGTGGGGCGTGCAGGAGGCAGCCGATCAATGATCCCCTCTTGATGTTTCTCTCTCTCTCTCTCTCTCTCTCTCTCTCTCTCTCTTCCTCTCTGAAATCAATTAAAAAAATATATTTAAAAAAGTAATTCAGGTCATGTTATTGCCCTGCTTAAAATCCTACAGTCACAGCCCACCTCAGCTAGGAAGAGGTCGGAATGCCCAGCCGACCCAGACCCCCTTGGCCGGGATGCCGTGCCCAACCCCAGCTGCTGTGTGCCACTTGCTTTTTGCTCTGGAGAATCACCCTCCCCCAAAGGGGGTGACCTGCCCAAGTGGTTACGTGCCCCCACTTCTGAGAGCCACCTGCAGCCAGTGACAGACTGACACGGAGGTCCAAGGCAGGATCAACACCCCAGCAAGTCACACTCCAGAGCTGTGTGTGTGTGTGTGTGTGGGGGGGGGGGGGATGGTCAGGCTGAGGCGCACTCCAGTGGGGACCAGGTCTGCTGTCCTTTGCAGCCCATTCTGCCTCCCTCACTCCATGGCAGCCCCCCTCCGCCCCCACCCCCACCCCCACCCCCACCCCTGCTTAGTTGGCATAAGAATCCCCAAGTCAGCCCTAACCGGTTTGGCTCAGTGGATAGAGCGTCGGCCTGCGGACTCAAGGGTCCCAGGTTTGATTCCAGTCGAGGGCATGTACCTTGGTTGTGGGCATATCCCCAGTAGGGAGTGTGCAGGAGGCAGCTGATCGATGTTTCTCTCTCATCGATGTTTCTAACTCTCTATCCCTCTCCCTTCCTCTCTGTAAAAAATCAATAAAATATATTAAAAAAAAGAATCCCCATGTCAGACTCCAACTATAGGAGACCCAGGCTCAGATGCCCTGTGCGATCTTGTCCCACCTGTATCTCCTCCTTGCTCACTCAGGCCCACCACGTCCCCTCCCTGCTCCCCCAGGGCCCCGAGGCCCAGCTCTGCATTGGACCTGCAGGTCCTGGGTCTTTCCTCTGCAATGACCCCCTCCTAACCCCCACAGGTGCTTCCCACCTTCACGCTCTTCACTCCACTGTCCCCTCCCAGTCACAGTCTACCGCATGTCCCCCTGTCCTGCTTTCTTCCTGGAGCTTTTCTCCATCCGAAATGGTCTCATCTGCTTGCTTACTGTCTGTCTCCCAGCCTAGAATGTCAGTTCCCTGAGGGCACCATCGATGATCCCAGTTAACAGGGTACACTGTCGAGAGCCCCTGACACGTTTAGGGGAAATGTTTTAACTTCTTTTAAAATCAGAAGGGGAGCCCTGACCGCTTTGGCTCAGTGGATAGAGCATCGGCCTGGGGACTCAAGGGTCCCAGGTTCGATTCCGGTCAAGGGCATGTACCTTGGTTGCCGGCACACCCCCAGTAGGGGGTGTGTAGGAGGCAGCTGATCGATGTTTCTCTCTCATCCATGTTTCTAACTCTCTATCCCTCTCCTTTCCTCTCTTTAAAAAATCAATAAAATATATTTAAAAATAAAATAAAATCAGAAGGGGAAAAAAGTAGAATCAACCTGGATAATATTCATCTTGGTATCAACACAGTGATAAAATACAGATTTTTAAACTTTTTTTTTTTTTAGGAGGTAGGGACTCATGAAGGCAAAATTGCTAAAGGCCCATGAAAGTCATGGATAAATCCAGCCAGTGTGGCTCAGTGGTTGAGGGTTGACCTACGAACCACAGTTCAATTCCCGTCAGGAAACATGCCCCAGTTTCAGGCTCAATCAGGCTCACTGGGGGGCGTGCAGGAGGCAGCCAATCAATGATTCTCTCTGATCACTGATGTTTCTATCTCTCTCTCCCTCTCCCTTCCTCCCTGAAATCAATTAAAAAATATATATTTTTTACAAATGTCATGGATAACTGCCCGGCCAGCGTGGCTCAGTGGTTGAGCGTTGACCTATGAACCAGGCGCTCAGGGTTCAATTCCCAGTCAGGGCACGTGCCCAGGTTGTGGGCTCAATCCCCGACGGGGGTTGGGGTGGGCCTGTAGGAGGCAGCCAATCAATGATTCTCTCTCATCATTGATGTTTCTCTCTCTCTCTCCCTCTCCCTTCCTCTCTGAAATTAAAAAAAAAAAAGTTGCCGAAACTGGTTTGGCTCAGTGGATAGAGCGTCGGCCTGCGGACTGAAAGGTCCCAGGTTCGATTCCGGTCAAGGGCATGTACCTGGGTTGCGGGCACATCCCCAGTGGGAGATGTGCAGGAGGCAGCTGATCGATGCTTCTCTCTCATCGATGTTTCTAACTTTCTGTCTCTCTCCCTTCCTCTCTATGAAAAATCAATAAAATATATTTAAAAAAAAAAAAAAAGTCATGGGTAATTGCTTGAGGATAGTGACTTTGTTGTTCCTGTTCCCCGATAAGTCCCTAAACAGGGCCTGATACTCTACAGCTTCACGTCAAATGAACAAGTGACTAAGAAAGACCCACATCAGGCACTGTTGTTTGAAAGTTTCACAACCTCTCCCTCTCCCCCTCCCCAAAATGTACATTTTCTAAGAGAATTGACCTTGCTTGACTGGTTCACTCCTACACCCCCAGGGCCCAGCAGCAGGTCTAGCACATAGTAGGTGCTCAAGAAATATTTGTAGAACGAAGGACTGAGTGGAAGTGACACAAGCTCACAACAAGACCGGGGGAGCAGCCTTAAGGCCAGATGCCAGTTCTGTGCCCCTGGACATCCACATGGGCACCCGGGCAGCCCCGGAAGGCGCCAGGAAGGGTCTCCTGAAGACATGCCTGCTTTTTTCTTTAATTTAAGTATATCTTTATTGATTTCAGAGAGGAAGGGAGAGGGGGAGAGAGAGAGATAGAAGCATGATGAGAGAGAGATTCATTGATCGGCCTCCCCCTGCATGACCCCCACTGAGGATCGAGCCTGCAACCCAGGCATGTGCCCTTGGCCAGAATAGAACCTGGGGCCCTTCAGTCCACAGGCTGACGCTCTATCCACTGAGCCAAACTGGCTAGGCAAGGCATATCTGTTTTGACTGGTTCCCCCAGTTCTCATCTCCTCTGAGCAGGGTTCTCAGCCTGCCAACTCTTCCTGACTTTGCTGCATGTTTTTCTCAGACATTCCCTTTAAGCCCTTTCTCCCTAAGCCTCAGCCCAACACCCTGCTTGGTTTTCCATCCTGTCCTGCAGCTCATAACGATCGGTGTGGCATCAGGGAGCCGAACCCCCCAAAAGAGGAGATTGTGTGGTGGTGGTGGTGGTGGTGTGTGTGTGTGTGTGTGTGTGTGAGAGAGAGAGAGAGATTGAGAGAGAGAGAGAGAGAGAGAGAGAGAGAGAGAGAGAGAGACCGTTGTTTCTGGGCAAGCCACTTTGCCGGCTGTTTTATGTGTTATGGTAAGTCCTCACTGAATCCCCAACCCTGTTCTTAGGGTTGGTTCCCCCATTCTGATGGCAGTGAAAGAGGCTATGAGTCAAGAAGAAGGTCATGTCCTACAAGGCCAGCCAGTAAGTAAGGAGGAGGTGACAGGGCCGTAGTAGGAAACAGACGGGAGTGACTAGAAAATGCTGAGGTTAAGTGAGAGGGAAGAGGGTACAAAGAGTAAAGGAAAGAGATGTGGCTGTCAGAAAGGATGCAGGGACCAGTCGGGGGCAGAAGCAGGCTGGGGAGGGCGGGCAAGAGGATGGCTGCGAGGCGGGGAGGGGAGTGCGAGAAGCATCCTGCATGAGGTGTGGGCACGGGAGGGGTGGGAGCCAGCGGGACAGGAGGGTGGGGGTGGGAAGAGAGAGAGAAGAGGAGTCACAGTGACAGAGGAAGGGTGCCCCTAACGGAAGAGGGTGCAGAGTGCAGGGAGAGGCATCGGATTTGCAAAACTGACCGGGGACACGTCGAATTGGAAGGGAGGGGCCAAATAATGGGTGAGCTTGAGTCGTGAGGGGTCAGCGTGGCCCAGGAGATGCCGGACAGACAGAGGAGCCACAACAGCCTCTGAGGGTGCGCAGTGACGGCTGGAGGGGCGGACTGACTCCAGGTGGGACAGGCTGACCTCCCCATCAACAAACCAACAACCAGGCAGCACCCTCTCCCACGCGCGGAGGGGACAGCCAATCAGGATGCGCCTGGTGGGCGTGACGTCACCAGCTGCCGGGCAGACTCCTCCCCAGCGAGTGGTCCAGGGGCCCAGCCTCCTCCTGTGCCACCTCGCGGGTGGGTGCTGCCTCAGGGGCCGGAGGCTGAGGATGGGCTAGCCCAGTGGTCGGCAAACTCATTAGCCAACGGAGCCAAATATCAACAGGACAACGATTGGAATTTCTTTGAGAGCCAAGTTTTTTAAACTTAAACTGTATAGGTAGGAACATTGTTATTAACTTCATTAGGGTGCTCCTAAGCTGGCCTTTGCTAAAACCGTCCTCAATCTGATTGAGGTACGTTCGCTGAGGTCGACCCCTTCCGACTCTCCCATCCACACTCGTCTTGTTTCAGATAGACGAGTGCGGATGGGAGAGTTGGAAGGGGTCGACCTCAGCGAACGTACCTCAAAACAATGTACCTCCCCCGAGCTGTGTATGCCGGGGCCCGCCTGAGCCGCATCTCCCCTCGACCGACCGGACCGACCACCCCCCCACTTCTTCTAACGCCACTTCTTCAAAATAGGCTCGCCCTGGCCGAAAACCGACTTCTGCTCGTGGGCCACGAAGTTTCAATCGCAGTGTACGTGCACGCCCGCACGTGGTATTTTGTGGAAGAGCCACACTCAAGGGGCCAAAGAGCCGCATGTGGCTCGCGAGCCGCGGTTTGCCGACCACTGGGCTAGGCAATTCGCGCCATGGAGACAGCCCCTGGGAAGGGGTCAGGGGAGAGAGAATGGAGGGGGAGACAGATGGAGAGACAGATAGAGAGATGGGAAAAGAGAGATGGGGGAGACAGAGGCTCAGGTCCAGAGAGGGGACAGACAGCGATGGGAAGGCAAATCGACCCGTGAGCAGGGAGAGAAAGTCAGGCCTGAGAGGCCCTGGAATGGAGTGGCTGCAGCGGCCCCGGGGGAGACAGAGGCAGAGCATGCAACCGAGAGGGTGTGATAAAATGACTGGAGGGCCCAGCCGGCGGGGCTCAGTGGCTGAGCGTGAACCTACGGACCAGGGGGTCACGGTTTGATTCCCATGCCCGAGTTTTGGGCTCGATCCCCAGGGGGGTCAGGCAGGAGGCGGCCGATTGATGACTGTCTCTCATCATGGATGTTTCTCTCTCTCTCTCCCTCTCCCTTCCTCTCTGATATCAGTAAAAATGTCTTTTCAAAAAATTATCAGAGGGAATCCGAGTCCAGAGAAAGGCTGAAACCTGCACCCATACAAATACGGGGGGAGAGAGGATGGACAGGGGACCCTGGGTGGGGGAGGGGTCAGTGAGCAGGAAGCAGAAACAGTTGTCCAGAAAGCCAAAGCCACGCAGAGCGGGGGGACAGACAGATGGACGGCAGAGCCCTGGAGGGGAGGAGACAGAGCCCAAGAGGCGCCCTGGCCTGCGGTGGACCGGCCTGGGGTCTGCGCCCTCACTGCCGGCACCCGCGGGCCTCCCTGGGCCCTGTGGGGCTCTGTCTTTCAGGGAGGCTGACATCTCCCAGTGCTTAAGTTGGTAAACAGTGGCGTCTTGGACAATATTTTGCTCTTGCTCGCAGCTGTGCAGGTCCGAGAAAAGAGGCCTCAGGCCCTCGCTGGTTTGGCTCAGTGGCTAGAGCGTCAGCCTGAGGACTGACGGGCCCCAGGTTGGATTCCAGTCAAGGGCACATGCCCAGGTTGTGGGCTCCATCCCCAAGAGAGGACGTGCAGGAGGCAGCCGATCAATGATGCTCTCACACCATTGATGTTTCTATCTCTCCCTCTCTTTTCCTTTCTGAAATCAATTTTAAAATTTATATATATATATATATATATATATATATATATATATATATATTTAAAGAGGCCACACTGCCCACCTTTCCCCTCTGGTCCAGTGCAGGGGGCGTCCAAGTGGGAGACTGAAGAGGAGACAGAAGCTGAAACGAATGGGAGATGGAGACACAGAGGACAAGACCACAGACCGAGAGAGAGGACTCAGGGTGAGAAAGATCAGGGAGGCTGGTGGGAAGGGAAAGAGAGAGCCGCAATGTGAGAGGGAGGGTCCAGGGACAGGCCCCAGGAGGGAGAGAGGAAAAGGGGAGGTCCGGCTGGGAGGGAAGGGAGGCCCCAAGGAAGACTCAGGTGAGGGGCGAGGGGCGGGCAGCTGGTGTTATTACTGGCAGGGGTTTGGTCCTCCCTGGGGGTGTCTTTGGCGCTCAGACGTGAAGTCTTGAGGGCCAGGGTTTTGTCTCTCCTGTAACCACGGTTCTCACACAGGGAGGGGGTGGCACCCTGGCTGCCTGGCACTTCGTGAGTCGCTGAGTAAATGCCCTGATCTGTTACTGGAGACTTCGCACTGAGCCTGATATGCTACTGTGGGGTCTCTGGGGGTGCATGAGTCAGCGCCTGCTGTACTAGGAGTTGATCTTATTCAATCCTCGTTAAGAACCAGCGGGACCGGCTTTAGTCCCATTTTACAGAACGGTAGACTGAGGCGCGGAGAAATTACATGGCCTGGTCCAAGTAAGTCAGAGGAGTCGGGATGCGAAGGCAGGTCTGCATGGCTCTACAGCGGCCCATGCTGTGAGTCTTACACTGACCTTGGTGGGGAGTGGGCACGGAAGACGACCCTAATAGCCCACGGATCTCAAATTCCTTGGGCAACCAAGGATGGACGTGCAGTGAGGACCTACTGCACCCAGGGCGGCCTGCCAAGCCCTGAGAAGTGGCCCAGGACCCTCTGGCTCTAAATCTGGGGTGCACGAGTCACAGTGGGGTCCCCATTTCTAAATCTGAGAAATTCTAACAGTCTGGGTACAAAATGTCCCACCTGCACTTGGTTCTTGTAAAAGTACCAGAGCCTCTAGAATAGCAGTCAAACCCTTAGTAGGGGCTGTGGACAGACTTCAGGGGGCCTATGCACTTGGACGGGAGAAAAACTACATCTTTATTTTTTTCATTATCCTGCCATTAAAATGCTCAGTGGTTGAGCGTTGAACCAGGAACCAAGAGACTTCGCTGGTTCAATTCCCAGTCAGGGCACAGGCCCCGGCTGTGGGCTTGATCCCCAGTAGGGGGTGTGCAGGAGGCAGCCAATCGATGATGTTCCTCTCTCATCCCTCTCCCTTCCTCTCTCTCTGAAAAGTCAATAAAAACATATTTTTAAAAAAATGCAACATTTCCTCAATGAGAAATGCAGGCCGCAAACCATGCTAGCGTTAGCAAGACCCAACAGAAATCACGGATATTACCAGATCCCATCGCAGTGGCTACAATTTCTCAAAACAGTGTTTTATGCTGCTCTGTCTTTGAGGTTAGAGCCATGGTCGGCAAACTGCGGCTCGAGAGCCACATGCGGCTCTTTGGCCCCTTGAGTGTGGCTCTTCCTAAGCCTTAGGAGTACCCTAATTAAGTTAATAACAATGTACCTGCCTATATAGTTTAAGTTTAAAAAAATTGGCTCTCAAAAGAAATGTCAGTCGTTGTACTGTTGATATTTGGCTCTGTTGACTCATGAGCTGGCCGACCACTGGGTTGGAGCATAAGGCCCGCCACCAGATCCTGCTGGCTAACGTCGTGACAAAAAGGGCACTGATATGACTATATCATCAATGTGCTTTTTCAAAATATTTTGATAACTGCACTTCAGGGTAACTGGCTTCTTTTGTTACCTTATGTATTTTATCGTATGCTTTTGTTAACCCTTAGCAGAGGATATTTTTTTCCATTGATTTTTAGAGAGAGTAGAAGGGAGGGGGAAAGACAGAGAGAAACACTGATGTGAGAGAGACGCATCAATTGGTTGCCTCCCACACTCATCCAGACCAGGGCCAGGGATCGAGCCTGCAACCGAGGCACATGCCCTGGACAGGAACGAAACCTGCGACCCTTCAGTTTAAGGACTAACACTCTAACCACTGAGCAACCAGCTAGGACTCATATGCCTTTATCAGCATCATTCACAGCACTATGTTAAAGGGGACCATGGCTCCGCCCCCCAGGTGGTGGGTATGGCCTGTGAGAAGAGGGGTTCAGGGGTCAGGGACAGAGAGCAGGGCCTGGGTCCAGAAGAAAAAAGTGCAAAGAGCGAGGCAGGGCGGGGTGTGACCTCAGGCGGGTGGGGGGAGGGTCTGGCGGGGAATGTGCTCCCATGGAGGGGCGCAGCTCAGTGGGGATCACAGCCAGGGAGGGACCAGCAGGCCCCCCGAGGAGAAGAAGCAGGGCTGAGGGCGGTGGCTGGACCATGGATCCAGTGGCCTGACTGCCCGGGTTGAAATCGGGCTCCCTCTCTGAGCCTCCGTGTTGGTCCCCTCTGTCAATGGGCTACCCTGCCCTCACAGGATGCTTCTGAGCAGGAATGCATGCCACAACCCATGTAAACCGTAGCGTCCCACATACAACCCACACCCGCCCCAGTCGGCCTCCCGCGCAGGGAAAAGCAGGCAGGGCCAAGACCGAGATCGCAATGAATATTTCAGTCATGACCACTTGTTGAGCACCTAGTACGTGCTGGGCCTGTGCCAGGGGGATCTCCATCATGATCGACTCATCTTCCTGAGACCTTCGAGGTGGGACAGAGACGGGCAGGAGAGAGTGAGCATGAGGAGCAGGAACAGACAGCGGGGACCAGAGGCGGGTCTGGGGGAGGCGGGCAGAGTAGGAGGAAGAGGGTGGGCAGAGAGGAGAGGAGACCCCGGAGGGGGGTGGAAGGAGTGGGCCCCAGGACGTGTTTGCAAGGATAGGGATGGCGGCTCCAGGTTGGCGTGTGCGCCCGTCCAGACTCCTTCCCCCAGGACCCCGGTTCCCCACACCCCACGCCTACCTCGGTGGCAAAGAAGCCTTTGGGCCGGTGTTTGCCCAGGGAGGCCAGGCCCCCGGGCCCAGGGCTCTCGCTTGCACTGATGGTCTGCTGAGCTGCCGCCAGAATTTCGTCCAGTTTGTCTGGGGGAAGGCAGAGAGGGGCGGGACACGGCGAAATGAAGATGCTTTGGCCCCCGAGCAGAGACCCGGCAGCCTGGAGCCCACGGGGCGGCTCCCGAGAACCGGGAAAGACCACCTATCTCCACCCTGGGGGGCAGGCAGCCCCAGTGGAGACACAGTCTCCAGCCCCGCGGGGGGACCCAGCCATGGGGAGGCGTGAGGGCCGCGAACAAGCCGGCCATCCTGGAAGGTGGCAGCTTAGACGTGAGAAGGGGGGCCAGGCTGGGTGTGAGGGTGGTCAGCGGGCGGGTGAGGGACACAGTGGACACGGCGCCGCAGGGGGCACGGGACCCGGGGAGCGGGGTGGGCCACTTACTGAGCGCCATCTGGTACACGGTCCGCTTTTTCTCCATGCTGGGCACGGGCGCCGGCTGCTGCTCATACTCTGTGGGCAAAGGAGGCGGCTGTGGCCCAGGGGCACCCCGGGGGGCGGGGCGGAGCGCTCAGGGGGGCCCGTGGGCGTGGCCCGCGGGTTGGGGGCCCTGTGGGCGTGGCGCAGGCGCGAGTGGGGCAGTGAGGGGCCGGGGCGGGGAGGGGTCGGGATGGGGGCCCTCCCGCCAGTCCTGTGCCCACTCACCACTCTTCTTCTTCCAGGGGGAGACTAGCCCGGGGGAGAGGCAGTAGAGGAGCCAAGAGTTAGGACTTCAGGGGGAGGCGAGGGGCCCCCTGTCTGGATCGCCCGCCTCCCGCGTGGCCCCGGGGCGGGGCTGTCAGCTGTCTGACCGGCCCCTGTCAGTGGAACTCGGACCCCTGCAGGTCCACGCTGCCTGGAGGGCGGGGGCTGCCCTCCTTTCTGTGCGTTGAGGGTGGGGGGTCGGGGGAGGGAGGCAGCTGGTGGCAGGTCGCGGAGGACAGGGGTGGGACCGATGGAGAGGGGCCCGGGCAGGAAACGGACTCGCCGCGTGGGACACACAGACCCCGACAGAGAAACAGATGCAAGAGGACAGAGAAAAGTCGACTCTCAGACGCCCCTTTCCCAGCGACACACACGCAGGCCAGAGAGGCTCTGGCCCGGGGACGGGGACAGGAGGAGGACGAGGAGCCCTGGTCACTAACGACACTAACAGACTCGAGGACGCCCGCCCCCTCTGCCCTCGCCCTCACGCTGGGCCCTGGCAGCCCCGCAGGCTCACCCATCTCCTCCAGCTCTGAGGTCATGGACTTGGAACGCAGGGAGATGGCTGGGGGCGGGAGCCGCTTAGCCTGCTGGGGTGCTAAAAAGGGGACGGTCGGTCGGTCGGGGTCCGGCCTCGGCACCGCGGGGAGAAGCCCCGTGACCCCCCAGCCACACCGCGGCGCTCCCGGAGCTCAGAGACTCGCCACCAGCAGCGGCGAGGAGACCTCCCTGCCTCAGTTTCTCCCCGGAAGGGCTGTGTGGCCAGACAGCCTCGAGGAAGGGAAGGCTGGGGCTGGGAGGGCTCCTGAGAGTCGGTCTGGCGGCAGCTGGGCCTGGCTGTGCAGCCCGGGAGGCTCACCTTTCTTGTGGACGGCCTCGTCCATGTCCGGGTGCCGGGTGACCATCACCACCTTCACCATCAGCGTGTTGCCCCCCTGGCGGATCATGTTCACCACCTGGCGGTGGCCCACCTTCACCACATTCTGCCCGTTCACCTGTGGCACAGACACCCCCCCAAGCGCGCCCAGGAGGTGAGGGAAGGGTGCTTTCCGCCTCAGGGTCCCCTGGAGGTGACCCTGGGGGGCTCTCCTCCCTCCCTCGGACCCTCCTGTCCTAGCGAGGCCCCACCTCCCTGTTCCTGTAACTCCCCTGACCTCTGGGCTGTGGGAGGGACTGAGCCCACCCCATGCACCCCCTCTCTTCCTCTTTGTCCCACTCACATTGAGAGAGAGAGAGAGAGAGAGAGAGAGAGAGAGAACGTGCCCATGCTGGGGGCACCATTTGAGATACTTCAGAGAGGCCTTCGGATTAAATCCATGAAGAAAGCAGAGGCTGGGCAGCCCGGTGCCAAAGGAGAAGCTGGACCTGGGCAGCCAGGTCCCGGTGTGGATCCCAAGGGGCCCCGAGATTTGTCACCAGGGCCCCAGGGAAGAGAGGGGTGTCCGGGGCAGGTGCGCCAGGGGCTGGGGCCGGGACTCACCTCGATGAGGAAGTCGCCCATGCGCAGTCCCGCGCGCCATGCCACGCCGCCCTCGTCCACCGACTCCAGATACTGCAGGGCCGGGAAGGCCGGGGTGGGGGTGAACTCCTCGATGGGGGTCTGCGCTGCAGATGGGAGGAGCCGGCGGGGTCGGAGGGGAGGGGAGGGGGTGGAGAGGCCGAGCAGGGGATGGGGCTCAGACCCAAGTCACGGAGGCGGCTGCGCCGTGGCTGAGGGACCAGCACCCTGGGGCTGGGGTGGGGGTTGTGGGCGGGCTGGGGTCCCTCCCCCTGGCCGTCCCCCAGCCCCTCCCGGCCGGCCGGCACTCACCCTTGGCCCCCCGGAGCACGAACCCAAACCCCTCGCTGTCCTTCTTCTGCAGCAGGACCGTCTTCTCCTTAATGATGTAATCGCTGGTGGGGCGGGCGGGAGGGGCGGGGGCAGGGCGGGTGGAGAAGGGATCATGAGGCTCGGAGGCCGGCCCCACGGGCACCCCAGTGGCCCAGGGCCCGGCTCCAGGACCATTCATCCCACCTCGGCTCCTCCTCACCCACTCCGAGCGGCAGCGTCTGCTCCTGCGCGCACGGCGTCGCTCACAGGCCTCCCCCGCAGAGCCCGGGTGCCTGCTCTCCCACTCACTCGTTCCTCATTCATCCACCCGAGATGCAGCCACCCATCCATTCAGCAAGCGGCTCCCAAGCCCACTGTGCGCCAGGGACGGGGAGGTACACCGCCGGGTCCCCAGAGGGCCTGGCTCGAACCCCCCTGCCAGCCACTTCCTGTCTGTGACCTTGAGCCTGGACTTTCACCTTTCGGATCTTCAGTTTCCTCATTTTTTATTTTTTATTTTTAAAATATGTTTTATTGATTTCTTACAGAGAGGAAGGGAAAGGGATAGAGAGTTAGAAACATCGATGAGAAACACCGATCAGCTGCCTCCTGCACACCCCCCACTGAGGATGTGCTTGCAACCAAGGTACATGCCCCGGACTGGAATCGAACCCGGGACCCCTCAGTCCACAGGCCAACGCTCCATCCACTGAGCCAAACCAGTTAGAGCTCCTCATTTTTAAAAAAATATATATTGACTTCAGAGAGGACGGGAAAGGGAGAGAGAAATAGAAACATCAGTGATAATAGAGAATCATTGATCGGCTGCCTCCTGCACGCCCCACATTGGGATCCGAGCCCACAACCCGGGCATGTGCCCTTGACCAGGAATTGAACCGTGACCTCCTGGTTATAGGTCGATGCTCAACCACAGAACCACGCCGGCCGGGCATCTGTCACGGCAGGCTCTACCTGCCGTGTTGCCGTGGCAGCGAAGTCCCTATAGTATTCAGCACAGCGCCCAGCACATCAACACGCTCAGTGGAATGCTTCCGCTTCTCCGGTCCAGTCTTTAAGTCAAGAGGACACGTGTACTTCAGTGATGCCTCTCCCAACTCCTTGGCTATGTATGTACACGTACGTCCTACAGCAACGCCTGCCCGGGTCCGCACGCCCACTGTGACGTTGCTGATTCGGCACTGCCCAATAAATATGGTGGCCGCTAGCTGCGTGTGGCGATTTATACGCAAATGAATTAAAAGTTAAATCGAACCCTTCAGTCCCTCAGTCTCACTAGCTACATTTCAGCGTGAGGCCGGTGGCTACCACGCTGGACAGATGCAGGCCATTTCCTGGCCGCAGAAGGTTCCGGTGGACAGCGGGGCGTCTCTGTTCCCTGGTATGTCTCCAGTGTACCGCCTGCGCCCAGCCGGTGGGTTCTAGCAAAATGCAAATTCCCCGTGAGTGTGGGGGTGGGTCTCAGCAAGGCCCCAAGGCCTGCTCGCATGTTTAGGTAATGCTCACCTGCCCGGGAAACGCAAACTTATTCCGTGTATCTCGGCACCCGCCCGCCCGGGCTCGCTCAGATCCGACCCCCAAGCCTCGATGTCACGCGTGCACCTCAACGTTACACTCCCGTTCTGTTCCAGGCACCCCGGGATGCCACAGGCACAGCCAAACACCCTGGCTCCAACCGCACTCCGAGAATTCCAAGGCAAGCAGAACGCATGGCCGGCTGCACCCCAGCATCCAGCACTCCTGTGTGGGACCCCCCCCCCGCCCCCCGCCAGCGCACACGCAGACCCCCCCGCGCCTCCCTGTGATCTCCACCGGCCTCAGCACGTACTAAGAATAGCGCATGTGCTCCCTGCGCACACCAATTACCTGCCTACACAGTCGGCTGAACAGCCCCCCATGAGTACGTCAGTATATTTCAGTGGCAGCCCCACACATCCCAGTACGCACTGATCATAACGCCCCTCACTGTGCTCTCAGTATATTCCCACAGCACGCCCCCTGAGCACGTCCCAGCACACACCAGCATACAGAACGCGCTCCTCCTGTGTTTTGATACCCACCCGCCCCCCCCAACCACACAAGCACCCCTTACACTCTCATGATCCCCAAGACTTCCACCTTCAAATCCCTACGTTTGTACCACAGCGTGTGCGGGCACGCCAGCCCCCCTCCACCCACAGCACGTGTGTGTACAGGTAGACTCGCCCCAGCGACCGCCCTCGCTCAGGTTCACAGGGTCCATCCAGCACCTATGCCCTCACCACACCCACCATGCCTCCCTGACTTCCTGTTCGGGCCTTTTATCTGCCACCTTTGCTGCTGGGAGGAGGGGGTGTGGGAAGAGGAGGGGGGAGGGGTTGAAAGGAGTGAAGGGGGTGGAGGGACGAATGGGAGGGGGGAAAGGAGGCCAAGGAGACTCAAACAGCGAACAGGGAGTGGACAGGGCCAACAGGAATAGGTTGAGAGGCCAGAGCTGCCTGCTCCTTACCATGCAGGCACCCTGTGATGCCCTTGTCCCCACCGCACACCCTGACACCCTCCTCTGAGCCCTGCTGCCCTGGCTACCCCCCCCCACATCCCTTCCAGGTCTCCAGGGCCCCCCAGTGGCCAGCAGTGCCCTTCGGCTCTCCTTTATGTCTCACAGCCACAAACCCCAAGTTCCCCATGTGCTCCCCCTGCCCCTGGAATCTCTCTTTCACCTCCAGGCTATCCTGACCGACCCCCCTCCGTACACAAGCCTTCCCCCACACACCCCAGCCTCCAATATAATGCAAGGAACCCCCCCCCCCCATGCCCAGTGCACGCCAAGAAGCAGTGCTGGCTGTGTGCAAGGCGGTGCGTCGAGCCCTCACAAGCGAAATAACTCACTGTCTCCACAGCCAGCTCCGAGGTGGGTGTGAGTGCTGCTTCCACTCGACAAGTCAGGAAACAGGCACAGAAAGGCTAAGTGACTTGCCCGAGGTCACGGAGTGAATGACATTCTTCCACAGCCCCCGGGAAGATGCCTGGGAACTGCAGTAGTCACAGCCGCCTCTCTCTCCCCACAGCACCCAGACACACACCTGCCCCAAATCCACTACAAGTGCCCCTCCCGGCGGCTGCAATTCACCCCAGGCTACGCCAACAGCACAACAACAATGGGTAACAGTTACTGAGCCGCTCCTGAAGGCCAGACCGTGTGTTCCGTGTTCGGAGCACTGCCCATTGATTTATTCATTTAGTCCTCACAACGCCCCTGGGGGAGAGGGGTTGACTGCGACTGTTCCCATTTTACAGATGAGGAAAGCGAGGCACAGAGAAATCACTTGCTCAAAACCACAGCAGCTGGAATAGCGTCAAAGCCGAGATTGGAATCCCCAACAGGCAACCCATGTACCCCAGTAATGTCCAAACACCCCCCGATCATCACAGCACCCCTTCTGCCCCTCCCTCTCATGCATCCCCGTCACAGACACGCTCCTCGCTCCGCTCTCCTCCCCACTCCTGCGCCTTTCGCACCCAGTCCCCACTAGACGTGGTGTCTCCCTCATCCCACCCCATTCTCCTTGACTCCCCAGCTGCCCTCTTGCCCCTGTGGCTTCCTGAGACTATGTCCCCCCTCCTCACTCCTGTGTGTCCCCCTCTCTACAGCTTGCTCCCTGCTCCTCCAGGTCATCTGCCAGCTCCCCTCCACCCTAGCCCACCACATCAGCCCTCACTTCCCAAAGCCCTCATCACACCCTGGGGTCGCCCCTGCGCCCCCACTGTGCTCTTGCAGGGACACCCCACGCCCCCTTTCTCAAGTGTCCTCCTCAGATTCCTATGACCTCTCCCCCCTCCCTTTCCCTCATCCTGCCCACATCCTCCTGCACCTCTGTATGAACCCCACTGTGTCCCCTCTGTATGAACCCCACTGTGTCCCCTCTGTATGAACCCCACTGTGCCCCCTACGGCACCCTCAGCTCCTCTCATACTCCCTGGTCCCCCCCCCCCCCCGCCGCCCCATTATCCGTGAGAGCCTCTTCCTCCTTCTGCATCCTCAGCTCACTCCATCACACACCTCTCCGCCTCCTTCCCTTGCAGCTGCATTTCATTTACATCCCCTGCACCCTCGGTCTACGCTGCCTAAACCCCACCCCACCCCCCTCACTGGTCCTGCATCCCCTCCTTACCCCATTGCTCCGCACACTCCACGCGCCCGCCATGCCCCAGTGTCCCGTTACCCCCACTTCAGCGTGTGCCGTTCCACCCTGACACCCTCCCGCCCGGACCGCTAACCCCACCCCCTGCTCCAGTCTTGCTACCCACGCAGCACCCCATTCATGATCCGCGCTGCTGACTACCTGCCCGGCAGGAACACACACAATGCTCTCCCCCCCCCCCCCCCCCCCCCGGCCATCCCGCGGCGACCCCAGGGGCCTCGGAGCCCGGTGGCCGGCCGGCTCTTGTTCCCTGGATCCCACCCCGCGGGGACTGCAGCAGCGTCCCCTCCCCCCGCCCCCACCCGCAGGTCCCTCTCACACCCAGGAGCCCACAGCCCAGAGCCCGCTGATGCACGCGGCGCCCCCTCTGGCCCTCAGCCCCTCCCCGTGTACCCATCTCCACGGGCACCTCCGGGGCGGGCACAGAGGTCCCCATGCAGGCGGGCGGCCCCCTTCCAGGCCGCGGAGTGGCACACACAGCAGATGCAGCTCCCCGTGCAGAAGCTCAGCCATGGCTCGGCACACGTGCCCTTCACAGCACAGCCCCCTGGGGGCAGGGAGAGGGGCGCACAGGCACAGAGACACAGAGGGCTGGGGGGGGGGAGGGGACAGGCCTGGCACGGGAGGGTGGGTGTGGGGAAAGAGCCGCAGTGCCTGGGACACACACACACACACACACACACAGTCCCCAGACAGCCTCTCTATCGCTCCAAGTCACACACAGAGACAGACGCCGTCAAACAGGGACACACAGATGGACACAGCTGGGGGGTGGGCTGGGAGCCCACCATCTCCCATCCTACCCTCTCTCTCTCTCCCTCTCTCTCTCTCACACAGCTGCAGGCCGTCACACACACACACACGCACACACACGCATGCACACTGGCACAGCCACACTGACACACGCAGTCGCACAGTGACACGCAGCGGAAAAAGCAGAGGGGAGAGGAGGCCTGGCGGGATGCGTGTGCGATGGGGGGGGGGGAGGGGTGACTGTGAATGGAGGAGAGGGGTATGAATGGGGGGACTTGCCGACTCCAGGAAGGGGTGTGGGGAAACGGGGATCAGAGGAGCAGGGGCCTGGGGTAGAGGCGCCTCCGGGGAGAGCCACTGTGGCTCCCCAAGGGGAGGGCTCCACGGGGTGGGGGCGCTGAGGGCGGCAGAAAGGGCGAATGGGTTCCAAACCCCAAAGTGGGGGGCCCGTTTGGAGGGGCTCGCTGCCGGGAAGGTCTTGGAGGGACATTGAGGGGGGCCGGGCTGGGCCTGTGACGGGGTAGAGGAGAGACTCCTGGTTGGGGGGTGCGCGCGCGGCCCCAGGAAAAGGATGAGAGGATGGAGAAGAGGCGCCGAGAAGGTGAGGGGAGACGGGGGAGGAGGGGGCGACCCGGGGGCGAGGAGGAGGCGGGAGGGGGGCACCAGCGGCGGGGGAGGGTCGTCCCCGCGCCGGGCCCAGCCGGCAGGAGGGAGCGCTCGTACCTGTAGATGTACCAGACGCTGCGCCGCCGGGGCCCCAGGGCCGGCCAGCTGGAGGAGAGCGCGGGGGGCGGCTGCGGCAGGGAGCCCCCGCTGGGGCCGCCCCCGAGACCCCCGCCGCCGCCGACCGCAGACAAAGCCATCGCCGCCGCGGCCCTGGCCCGGGTCCGGGTCCGGGTCCGGGTCCGGGTCCCGGCCGCCCCCGCCGCCGCCGCCGCGTCCCCGTCCCCGCTCGGCCGAACCCCCGTGTCCGGGCCCCCAGGCCCCGCCTCATGCTGACCCGCGCCGGGAGGGGGAGGGGGCGCGCACCCTCCCGCGGTGGGGAGGGCAGGGCCGGGGGCTCACATGCCGGGGGGCGCGGGGCGCGGGTCGGGCCGCCGCGGGAGCGCAGGGGCCGCGGACGCGCCGGCTTCAGCACCGCGGACAGCTCCGGAGGCGGCGGCGGGCGCGAGGCTTAACCCCTTGGCGTCCTGCGCCCGGCGGCGGCGGCGGCGTTGGAGGGGGCCGGGCCGCGGGGGAGGGGGCCAGGAGGGGAACGCGGGGCCCCCTTGGCGGGAGAAGGGGGAGGGGCGAGGCGCGGGGGGGGAGGGGGAGGCACTTCCGGTCTGGGCCCCCCCCTAACCCCCTCTCCCTCCAGAGCCCTCCCGCGCAGGTGCAGAGCGAGGGAGAGCGGGAGAGGGACACGCAACGCGCACAAGATGCCTCGAGCCCCGCGTGCAGGGACGCGCTGACCCAGCCCACTTCCAGGGCAGGGACCCCGCGGTGAGAGAGGCCCCGGGAGGGGGCACGCAGCCCCCCGCCACAGGCGACATACCGAGCACCCCAATACAGTCTGCAAGGGCCGGGAAGGGAAGGTCAGGACATTCAGACCGGGCCCCAAGGCCGAGAGACAACCCTCCCCCAAGAACCCCAGGCGGAGGGACGCACACACTTCCCCTCCCTGGGACACACGGGGGAGGAGGGAGGGCGCAGAGGCCACAGGCCGAGGGGCCCCAACCCCCAGCTCCTGCGGGATGCAAGACGCACACATGGGACAGGACAGGCCACCACAGAAAGGGTCGGGCAGGGCAGGGCAGGCAGGAGGCTCCGACACACCACACACCCCCCGCAGCGCATTCCAGGGGCACAGGAAGTGGAGAAGGAGGGGAGGGGAAGTTCTGGACAGGACAGTTGAGGGCCAGAGGGACCACCCCCATCGGGCAGGCGGGGCCAGCGGCCCCCGGACCAAGGCCAAGGAGAGGCCCAGGGAGACAGTGATGGAGACAAGAAGCAGAGGCTGATGGGAGCCTCGGGGAGGGGAGGACCTCCATACTCACCCGGTGCCCAGAGCCGGACACGTGCCAGGCGAAGACGCACAACGGTCAAGCGCCTCTGACACTTGGGGCGCAGGGTGGCAACCCAGCCCCACCCTGTCTCCCCACATTGTCATTCCTCCTCCTCCCCACCCCACCCCATCCCCACTGGCAGGACACAGACACGGAGGTTTGGACACATTTAATGGGAGGATGCTACGAACAAGGAGACCCTTCCCTGATGGGGGGGGAGGGGAGGGGCAGGGGAGGGTGTCATCTTTGATGCCCAATTAGGACCACCCTTCCCCCACAGCCTTGCCCTTCCGCAGGCCCAAGTCCTGGAGTCCTCCCCTCCTAGGCCCCCTCCCCCAACACCCCAGGCCCTGAGCTGCGGATCAGACGGACGGATGCAAAGGCATGCACACGACTGTATGTGCTGATGCGCCCGAACGGGGACATGCACGGAGAGGGACAGGCGTGTGCAGGGACCCGCCTGCCCGCACGCCGCCAGCGGACACACTGCCGTCTCTAGAAACACCTGCCCTCACTCTCAGACGTACAGACTCAGGGAAACACAGATGCGCAGAGCCGGCTGCACCGCTGGCCTCGCCGTGCAGCCATGAGCGACAGCCCCCAACGCACCCCTCTCCGCGGGCCAGGCCCTCTGCCCAGCGCGGACACGCACAGGGCTATCCGTCCAGGGGCCTGCAGCCACACATGCGTGCGGACACGTGCCATGCACACCCACAGAGACACATGGGCAAGAACACACTCAGGGAGACCACACAGGGGCGCTGGCCTGTGGGAGACGTTCACGCCCCGGAAACCAGCTCTGGTCGTGCACACGCACACACGGCCACACACCCCCAGGCACCCCTTCCTGCCATTCCTGACCCCGCCCTCCGGCCCCCCCTCACCTCACCGGGCCAATCCCATCCATCAAGCTTCAGAAGCAAGTCAGCCAGCAGCCAGGAGGGGAAAGGTGTCAGTGTGCCCCCTCCCCGCCCCCACCCGCCTGGCCCGGCTCCGCCCACACCCAGAGCGAGACATGGGATGCACGGGTTTCCACTGCACATGAATGCACAGAGATGGGGCACATGAAGGGCACATGGGGGGCCTCCAGCCAGCCAGACACACAGACCCAGGGCCCCCAGGCAACGCCCCCACTCCGCCGTGTCCACCCCACTGGTGGTCGGCCACCCCGGGGCTGAGCAGTCTCAGTGGCTGCCAAGCAAGGCAGGTTGGGGGACCGGGCTGTGTGGTCAGAAGCTAACTCGGCCTTGCCCCACCCCTGCATCAAACTTGGGAGGGAGCAGATGAGAAAGGGGGCTTGGCGGTCGTGGAAATATCTTAAAGGCGGAGGGTGAAGGGAGGCAGGGGGCACCGAGGGCATAAGGACATTTACCTGGGGGCATCAAAGCTGTCGTAGGAGCCCACGGTATAATGCCGGAACAGCCTCTTGGCCTTGTCACTGCGGCTCTCTGCAGGGGGACAAGGGGTGGCCTTGGCCCTCATCCTCGAAACCACAAGCCCGCCCCCAGCCCTCCTGGCCTGAGCCTTCCCCCTTCCCCCCAGCACCCTCCTGTCGGGAAGGGAAGGGGAGGGGAGGGGTGGGCTGAGCAAGCACCCTGGGGTACATCGGAGGCAGCCCGGGCTCCCCCATACCTTGCTTTCCCTCCTGGGAGCGGTTGGCCACCTCTTCCAGGCAGTCGGAGGGGAACCAGCCGACGCGACCTTTGACCTGGCCTTCCCAGAAGCCTCCTTCGCCGATGCTGAGCACTGGGTGGGGAGCAGGAAATGGAAACGTTTCTCCGTGTCCGCGGGGTCCCTGCCCCAGCGCAACGATGTGCAACCTTCCCACGATTCCCGCCCCCGGCACGGGGAGCAGTCCCAGGCCCTGGCCCGGAGCTCGGCTGGGATACACCAAGGTTGTGGGTTCGATCCCCGGTCAGGGCACATGCAACAATCAACCAATGAATGCTTCAGTAAGTGGAGCAACAAGTCCTTCTCTCTCTCTCTCTCCGGTCCTTCCTCTCTCTAAAATCAATAATTAAAAATGCTAAATAAAATAAATGTCCGAGGAAGGGGTGAGGGAAGCACGTCTAGGTTTCCGGACCCAATGGGGACCCCAGAGGCCCCGGGGAAGAGGGCGTGTCCATGCCACGGCTCCCGGGTAGGGACCCGTCCACAAGCGGCCCTCATCCCCCCCGGGAACCGGCCACAGCTCAGCTGTTCTGTCATTTCCCTAAACCCCCCCAGGCAGCCCCATCCTCGCCCCCCCCCCCCCCCACCTCCCACAGTCTCCTTGCCACTTAATCTTGTGTCATTTGCTCCCAGGCCCTGCCCCTGCCTGTCTTTGCCCCCCCTCCCCCCCCCCTCACCATCTAGAAGGGAGAAGAGATTAGAATCACCTCTTTTCTTCTCTCTACCCCACAGAACTGGAGGGCCTTTCCTGCCGGTCCTCCCTCTACGCCCCCGGCACCCGGTGAGCAATAGCCTGTGCCACACCTGGCAGCCTTGCCGGGCACCGGCACTCAGCGATGGACGGGCGGCAGGGACGGCGCCTGCTTATCCAGCTCTCACTCTGAACCAGAGCCCTTAGAGGGGGGTTCCTTTTGTGACCCCCATTTTACTGGTGGGAACACTGAGGCTTGGGGATCCGAGGTCATGGGCTCAAGGTTAGACGGCTTGTAATGGACAGCTCTGTCCGCTTCCCGGGGGAACGCTTTTAGTCAGGAAGGCTGCCACCTCCCCGTCCAAGCACTGGGCTCAACACGCTCCTCACTCCCACCAGCATTTTCCCCGGTTCTGTCCGCACGCAGCCCCCCCTCCCCCCAACACACACACCTCCCTCGCTCAAGCCGCACGCCCACCCTGACAGGCAACGGCGGGTTTCCCCGTGTCTCCCCGTGTTGTAGATGAAGAAGCTATCGCTGTAGCAGAGAAGCCCCTCGCCCAGAGGAGGCGCCCGTCGTGCTAGGATTTGAGTCGGGCCATGTGATGCTTTTCCCTGCACAAGCCGCCTGCACAGAGCATCTGGGAGGTGACACCGAGACGCTCAAGGTCGCGGGAGCACGGGAGATGGGGTGACAGGAGTCTGGGCTCTTGGCTGGATCTGCCAGACCTGTGGGTAGCCTTGGCATCAGCCATGGCTTCACTGAGCTGAGATTTATTTAGGGCCGGTCGTGAGTCAGGCATCGGAGCAGACGCTGGGTGGAGCCAAGGGACACATAAATGTGGTTCTTGCCCTCACGGAGCTTCCACACGGGTGCCCATTGGAGGCGGGAGTCTGCCAGTGACCTCGCGATTGGAAATCGAGGTTAGCACGTACGGGAAAAAGACAGGGTGTCCAGAGACAGGCAGAGGGGGGCATATGCATCGGATGGTCAAGGGGACCAGGAGGGCGTCCCAGAAGACAGGACCTGGAGGCCTGAGGATCCTAGGAGCGGAGGAGGCAGGGAGAGGGAGGAGGGGCTGTCCAGGCAGAAGGAACAGCATGTGCAAAGGGCTTGGTGTGGAGAAGCGTTTCGGGCATTTGAGGGATGGCAAGCAGGACACGGTCCCTGGGATCTTGTGGGTGAAGAAGTGGCAGGAGATGAGGGGGGTGGATGGGCAGGGAGGGCCTTGTAGGCGGGGCTCAGGCCCGGGGCTTGGATCCTGAGCACACAGGGAGCCTCGCTACCTCGTTGGGAGGAGGCGAGACTTGGGACATCGTGGCTGTGGGCACGCCCGGAGGCAGGAAAGTGCCTTTTAATGAAAGGGAAGGAGATTGGAAACAGGGCCGTGCGTCCTCTCCCTGAGCCCTAGGATTGGGCTTGCAGTTCAGAAAGACGCATGGAGGATACCGCCCAGGGCCCTCTGCCTGCCCGGAAGGCCCCTCACACCTGCCCCCAGTTTCCCTTTCTTCTTTCTCACCTCAAATCACAGTCCAACCACCGCCCCCCCCCCCCCCACACACACACACACACCACACACACTTCCTGTCTCTCTCTCTCTCTTCCCCACCCCCTGCACGCTGCCTCTGGAGGCACTGCCTGGCCCCCACCATTAGCTCTTGCATTCATTCATTCATGTGTTCATTCATTCATTCGTTCACTCATTCATTTGTTCATTCATTCATTCATTCATTCACTCATTCATTCATTCATTCATTCAGCAGATGCACATTCAGGCCTCCGGTGTGCTCCACACGTCATGAAGCCGGGCCCTTGCGACCCAGAAACCAATCCCCTGTGACCTCAGCTTCAGGAACTCAGGCCGTGGGCAGACGGACCACAAAACAGATGCAATCACACAGCCCGCCTGATGCCCTGATCCCTGGCCCACGCACACTCTCACCCGTGGGAGGACCCGCCCAGCTTCCCCAGGTGGCCAGGGTCTCTCTCCTCTAAGTGCCAGGAGAGGGGGCCACTTATGACACCCACGGCTGTACTTGTTACGTGTGAAGCATCGTTCTACGCGCTTTACGGGAGGTGATTCCTTTCTTCTTCCCAAGGGTCCCATTTTATAGATGAGGAAGCTCAGGTCCAGAGAAATCATGTGCCTGAGGCCACCCAGCCAGGAGGGGGTGGGGCCAGGACTGAATCCCAGCAGCCAGGCCCTCAACCGCTATCCTACTCAGCTCCTTGGCAGCCTGGAGCTGGGCTAAGAGTCGCTCCCCAACCCCGTGTGAACAACACACCTGCAGCTTCCCGTCTCCAAACCCCATGCTGTTCATGATGAGTGGAGCACACCGGAGGCCTCAATGGGCATCTGCTGAATGAATGAATGAACGAACGAATGAATGAACAAATGAATGAATGAACGAACGAATGAATGGATGAACGAACGAATGAACAAATGGACGAATGAATGAACAAATGAATGAATGAACGAACGAACGAATGAACGAATGAATGAATGGACGAACGAATGAACGAACGAATGAATGAACAAATGAATGAATAGATGAACGAATGAATGAACAAATGCAGTCAGGATGCACATGGGAGGCAGTTGATCCGTGCTTCTCTCCCTCAAACAAAAAATCAATAAAAATAATGAAATCTAAACAAAACAAAACAAAACAGTCCCTGTTCAGGAAGCCCTGGGCCCGGACGGGGCTTCACACACCCGCGGTCTCATGGGAGCCAGTAGGCACCGCGTTTCTCAGAAGACCTGGCAGAGGCAGGAGGGGAAGGCAGGCGGCTGGCCTCCCGCTCCCCATGAGGCAGCGGAGAGACTGCGGGCGGGCACAGCTGGGGGCCTCGGGCCAGACGCTCCCCTGCCTGAGGCTCTGGTCCCCCAGCTGTGGGATGCATCCGCCACCCTCCTGCAGGGTCCTGAGTGAGAGACCAGGCCGGGAACCGCTCCCATGCCCAGCGGGGTGCCAGGGCCTGCGGCCTCCTGACGGCATCACCTCAGTTACCCCCTGTGCTCCTCGGGGCAGAAGGGGCGCCTCGGGGCTCTCCGCGGCCTCCAGGGTGCACGGGACAGTCTAGAGCTGTCGGTCCTGCCCGCCCTCCCTGAAGGCTCGGCTCACCTGCCCGCGCCCTGGCCCGCGCTGCCCGCTCACCTTTGATCTTCTCGCCCTTGCTCAGGGAGATCTCCCCCTCGGCCTGGGCCTGGTAGGACTTCACCGCCATGAAGGAGCGTCCGGGCACGGCCGAGTAGAGCTTCCTGCGTCGCCCGCGGCTGCCCAGGGAGCCCCCGGGCCCCCCTGAGCCCCCGGTGCCCCCGGCCGGTTCCCGGGGCGTCCCGCTGGAGCTGCATACACAGAGGGCGTGAGAGGCAGGGCGGGGTGGAGGGAGGGCGCCTCTGGGAGACAGGGGGCCTTGGAGGGGCAGGAAGAGATGGGGCATCGGGTGGGGGAGGGGGTGTGAGTGGGTGTCCCAGCGCTGGAGTCCTGGGAGGGGGGCATCTGGGGCCCCCTGGCTCCCGGCGCTGCCCCCTCCCCCAGGCCTGCAGGCCCCCCTGAGCCAGCCTCCGGAAGCTGGGCCCCGACCCCGGCCCCGTCCTGGCTGCTCACTAGTGACGCCTCCTCAGGGGTGGGGTCCAGGCCCCCTGCCCGGCATTCCCAGTCCCAGGGTCTCCTCCCTCCGGCCACAGACCCCCTCTCCCTCCTCAGCCAGCCCACCCTCCCCTCTGCCCTGAGGGGTCTCTCTGCCCCCCTCTCTCCTCTCCTCCTCCGCTTCACCTCCAGGCTCGGACACCTCTCCCCAACTCCCTCGCCAGTCCCCTCACTGCTCAGCCTGCTCTCACCTCACCCTGTCTTTCTATCTGTCCTCAGGGGCTAGAAGCAACGTTCCTTTTGGGGTGCCCCCCCCCCGGCCCCTGGTGTGGAGCAGGTGCATTTGGGACTGGCTCCTACACCCTCCCTTCCTCAAGGGTCAGGAGTGAGGCCCGGGGCCTGGGGGGACCAGGCGGTGGGTGGGTGGCTGGGGGACAGAAGGTAGACAGCTGAGCTGGCCTGGGGCGTGGTGGCTCTGAGGAGGGGATCTGGCCGAGTTGGGGGTCTGTCCCTGGGACCAGGGCTGAGCCCTCCCTACCTGGGCCGTCCACGGGGCTGCCTCTTGGCCTCCTCGGGGTGCCTCCCCCGGGATGGGGAGCGAGCCCGGGCACCCCGGGGGCTGCTGGCACTTCGGAGGGTCCCGGTGCTGAGCTTGGTGCTGGGGGCCGAGGGCTGCGACTGGCCCTGGGGCGCGGAGGCAGGGGCGGGGGCCCCCGTGGACGAGGCCCCCGGGGCGGCGAACACCATCCAGTCCGGCAGGGCCATGCTGGTGTCACTGTTGGCCCGCAGCAGCGCGGGCGGCACCGTCAGCCCGGCGCTCGGGGGTCCCCGTCGCCGGGCCGCATACTTGGGGGACTCCTGGAAGGGCACTGAGAGGGCACGGTGGTGGGGGGGCAGAGGGGAGGGGAGACAGAGGCGGGCGGTGGGGGACACGCAGGCGAGAGATGGTGAGAGAGGCACCAGGGGAGAAAGACCGAGATGAGAAAGAGTGGGGGAACCTCGCATCGCGCCCCCTACCACCATTGAGACATTCGAGGTCCTCAATCCCATCCTGGCCCCCGAGCCATGTCCTCTGACTCCCCGACCCTGCCTAGACCCTACCACGCACCCCCAGGTACCCCCGGCTCTCCCCTGGGCCCAGCCCCACCCACTCACCCACGTCCTGTTCTCGATGGTTTCGAATCAGCTCCCCCAGTTCAAAATTCCCAGCAATCACTGCCACCTGGAGGGGGGCACAGAGGGGTGGGGTGGCCCAGGCCCAGGGAGGGGGGTCAGGAAGCAGTCAGGTCCCCAGCTGGCTGCTCCCTCTGCCCGTCCCCCAACACCTTCACCCCAGAGCCTGCCCTCCCTCTCTCCCAGCTGGCCTCATGACCCCACCTTCCTGACCCCTCTGAGTTCTTCACACCAGCCCCCCCCGCCCCCCAACACCCGATCCCACAGCCCCGGACCTGGAAGGCGGTCTGTCCGTTGTTATTCTTCACGTCCTTGCTGGCCCCGCGATAGAGGAGGATCCTAGCACAGGTCTCCTGAGGGCGGGGGTCAGGGGCACAGGGTGAAGGGGAAGAAGACAACGAAGGTCACACGTGTGGGCACGGCCCCGCCCTAAGAACTTCAGACCCTGGCCGGGTAGCGCAGTGGTTAGCGTCCCATCCCCATCCGCCAAGGGTGTGGGTTCGATCCCCAGTCAGGGCACAGACAAGAAGCGAGCAATGAACCCATCCATACGTGGAACAACAAATCGATGTTTTTCTCTCGCAAAATCAATCAACCAACAAAAGAACTTGGGGAACAGTGTGATGTCAGCCTGCCCTGCCCAGGACAGCAGCCACTTGCCACGTGTGGCTCCTGAGCCCTTTCATGTGGCCGAGCTGAGGGGGGCCGCGTGTCAAACACAGGCTGGACAACTCCAAGGGCTCAGGAGCCACAAATAAAGTGAGTATCTCGAATAATGTTTATGTTGATGACATTTTACCGCGATACGATTTTGGCTACAAAGGGTTAAAAAATGCAACTGAAATTCATGACACCTGTTCCTTTTTCACTCTTTTTTTTTTTTTTAAATGTGGCTTCTGGGACATTTAAAATTACACCTGAGGCCCTAACCGGTTTGGGTCAGTGGATAGAGGGTTGGCCTGTGGACTGAAGGGTCCCGGGTTTGATTCCAGTCAAGGGCACATGCCCAGATTGTGGGCTTGATCCCCAGTGTGGGGCGGGAAGGAGGCAGCCGATCCATGATTCTCTCACATTGTTGGTGTTTCTCTCTCTCTCTCTCTCCCTCTCTGAAATCAACAAAAATATACTTTTTAAAAATAAAAAATAAATAAAATTATACCCGTGACTTGGATGGTGCTAATCCAAACCAGGGCTTCTCTCAAAAAAAAAAAAAATTCCTATATAATAAAAGGGTAATATGCAAATTGACCCTAACTGCTGAATGACCAGGAACGAACGGTTGCTATGACATGGTTGCTATGACATGGTCGCTATGACATGCACTGACCACCAGGGAACAGACGCCGAATGCAGGAGCTGCCCCCTGGTGGTCAGTGCGCTCCCACAGGGGGAGCTCCGTTCAGCCACAAACCGGGCTGATGACTGTGAGCGCAGTGGCGGTGGCGGGAGTCTCTCCTGCCTTCTCAGCAGCACTAAGGATGTCCAACTGACGGCCTAGGGAGCTGACCTAAGCTGTCAATTGGACATCCCCGAGGGCTCCCGGGCTGCCAGAGGGCACAGGCCGGGCTGAGGGACCCCCCTCCACCCCAGTGCATGAATTTTCATGCACCAGGTCTCTAGTAAATCAATAAACCAGGGCTTCCCCACCATCCTGTGCATCCAAGGAGGTGGAGCAGCATCCCTGGCCTCTACCACTAGATGGCAGTAGCATCCCCTCCCATCCTGACAACCAGGAGTGTCAGCAGACAGTGACAAATGTCGGGGGGTGAGGGGGGCGAAAGCCGCCCACCTAACCCTCACGGAGGGCTTACTACGCTGCATGCCAGGTGCTCAGCACCTCAGAGGCGGGAGCTTGCGGAATCGCCCGATGATCGCGTGAGATAGAAAGTATTGTTCCCATTTTTCAGAAGAGGAAACGAAGGCTTCCCAGGGAGGTCAAGGTCACGGGGCTGGAGCATCAGGGTTCAAGCCCAGGTCTATCTGCCCCCAGAGCCCCTGCTCTGCGAGAGCCAGAAGGAAGCGGGTGGGCACATGCCTGCCCCAGGGCCTTTGCACCTGCTGCTTCCCCTGCTCGGAATTCTCTGCCCTGCCATCTTCGCATGGCGCAAAGATTTCTCATGTCACTCACCCTGTCAAAATGAACTCTGTCCTGTTCCCTGCTTTATTTTCTTTTTTAAAAAAATGTATTTTTATTTATTTCAGAGAGGAAGAGGGGAGAAAGAGAGAGAGAGAGAGAGACATCAATGATGAGAGAGAATCATTGGTCAGCTGCCTCCTGCACACCCCACACTGGGGATCGAGCCCGCAACCCAGGCATGTGCCCCGACCGGGAATCGAACCTTGACCTCTTGGTTCAAAGGTCGATGCTCAACCACTGAGCCACGTTGGCCGGGCCCCTGCTTTATTTTTGTTTAGACACCTGCTATGTCCCAGGCATGCTTTTAAGCCTGTTTTAGATCATCTTCTTCCTCACACTGTCTCCCTGAAGTCACATTTCTATTTCATTGGTCTCCTCAGCATCCCTCCCCCGACTACACTGTCCCTTTCCTAGCAGCTTGGTTCTGTCTGTGGTGCTCACCGCCTGGAACAGTGCCTGGCCCCGGGAGAGCCGTCCGATAAGCAGGTGCTGAATGAGGGACGGTCCTCTGCCTTTGCCCGAGCCTGGCCAAACCCAACCTGTCCCCGAACCCCAGTTCAACTCTCCTCCAGCTCCCCGGATACTAACTTGCCGGAAGCCGATCCATCCTTGCTACTTGACACAGTCACTGCAGGGAAGAAACATCTGCACAGCATATGTTTCAAGGGACCTGGCGTATATGGCATACTGTTCTTAATATGTTCGCTCCCCTACTTAGCGCTATGTGTTTTAACCAAGGTCACCTCTCCGAGAAAGGTTGTTTCCCCAGGTAGGGATTTTTCCCCTGAAGTTAGGGAGGTAATAAAACCCCTTAACTAAGTGCCAGGTGGGTAGTTAATCACTTTAACTACAAACAATCATGCTTAAGCTACATAATCTTTACTCCCTGGAATGGAGATAAGAAACGCCCTAACCTTTGGAATAGAGATTGATAGGATTGGAATCAACTGTTATAAATACAGATGTAACAAGACAACAGGACACAGAACCTAGAGACAGAACCTAGAGACAGAACTAGAGAGAGAACATGGCAAAAGATCCTGGACAGAACCTGGCGACCGAACCTGGCTGGAGAACCTGGAGACCCTGACAAGAGAACCCAGACAGAAATTGGCTGGAGAACCTAGACAGAACATGGCAAGAGAACCTGACTAGAACCTGGTGACTGAACCTGGCTAAAGAACCTAGAAACAGAACCCGGCTACAGAACTTGGCTGGAGATCCTGGCTAGGCTGCTGATCAACTGAACGCTGTCTCCGTGTCATTCCTTCTTCACTGACTCCGTCCACACCTTTGGGGACCCCTGGACCTGCTGGGGTTGGACCCCAGCACTAACTGAACCGGCAGGTTCACCAAGAACCTCCTCGCTCTGACCCTCTCCGCTCCACAAATCCACCAGCGATGCTCGTAGGAGCCAGTCCTGCAGGACAAGTTCAGGGACGGCAAATCCATGGCCCAAGTCGCACAGCCTGTTAGAGGCGCGGCTAGGACTCCAACCTGGCCTTCTAACCCTTCCACTCCTACTGCTTCTCTGTTTCACCACTCCGATGGCCCAGGCCAGTCACGGCAGAGGAACGGGTGTGTGTGTGTGCGTGTGTGCGTGTGCCCGCGCACGCACACGCTGTCCCCCCACCTAGAGTGTCAACCGCTGCCAGGTGTGAGTTCGCGTGGCTGCCCGCCCCTAGCCGACACCTCGCCTGCCTAGCACACGGCCAGAGCATCAACACCAGCTCCACCAGCTCTCCCGTCTTCTCCCGGGGAACCCCGTGTTTACTGGTGCCCTAGCGCGTACCTCTCAGCTTGGCGATTATTTGTTTACGCGTCTGCCTCTTTGCCAGACTGTGGCTCCCCTCCCCCTCCCCAGGGCAGGCGCCATGCTGAGTCTGATTCATCCATCTCCCATCCCGCACACAGTCGATGCTCAAGAAACAGGCATGGCCCTGGCCGGTTTGGCTCAGTGGATAGAGCATGGGTCGGCCTGTGGACGGAAGGGTTCCGGGTTCGATTCCAGTCAAGGGTGCATGCCGGGGTTGTGGGCTCGATCCCCAGTGTGAGGCGTGCAGGAGGCAGCCGATCCATGATTCTCTCTCATCATTGGTGTTTCACGCTCTCTCTCCCTCTCCCTTTCTCTCTGAAATCAATAATACACACACACACACACACACACATATATATATATATATATACATACATATATATGTGAAACAGGCATAGTGAGGATGGGGATGGAGGACACGGCGCTGAGACACTGATTCATTCCTTGAGTCATTCAATCCAGCCTGAAGCGAACCCCTGGGCTGGGTGCTGCAGGCTTGGGGGAGAAGAAGGTGGCTGACCCATCACTCATTCATTCATTCATTCATTCACTCCCTCAACAAACATGCCTCTAGGCCTAGTATGTGCTGGGGCTTTGGGACAGCGGATGGGTCGGACTTAGCCGAGCCTTGAGCTCCCGGCCTCGACATGGACCTGACCTTCACCACCAGGGCTAGACGGGCATGCCAGAGGGCCAGGGGAGCAGAGAGTGAGGAAATGCCAGGGCCCAGCGCTGGGCCCTGGAAACGTAAAGTCTGGGAGGGCAGACAAGGGGAGAGAAGTAGAGAAAGACCTCATGCGTGTGGAGCGTCTGTTCGTTAAGCACCTGGCCAAGAGCAAGCAAAAACAATTCAGCCGCCTGGTCCTTTGCCGTTGGCCCATTTCACAGACGAGCAGGAGGAGGCCAAGGAAGGGGAGCGGCTGGCCCATCCGACTTGCCAGGAGGAATCGTTCTCCTTATTAATTCCTCATCTTACATTTCCCCTGCTCAAATGAATGGTGTGGTTTCCACCTCCTGACTGGATCCTGACTGATAACGGTTATGATAATGACAATAATTATTATTATTACAGCTGCCTTCCAGGGATGAGCACTTAATATACGGGATCTTTTATCCCCTTCAATCAACTGATGCCATTCCCAAGTCAGGGAGAGGACGGAGCCTCCCAGAGGGGACAGGGCTTGTTTGGGGGCCTCCCCTGGGCTGCCCCCAGGCCATGCAAAGGGGGGAGGGGGGAGCCAGGGGGCTGGGGCAGAGGCCGTGTCAGGGAGCAGGAGAGACAGAAGCACCGCACCACCACCCCCCCCCCCCCCCGCCCGAGTCCCCCCTCTGCAGGCGCCAAGCAGACTGCGTGCTGGGTGGCGGTGGCTACCTGCCAATCCCAGCTCTGCCAGTGCTGGGGAGGCACAGGGGGCGGGGCTGTTTTGGAGACAGGCAGGGGGGAGGGGAGAAGGGGCTGTGGACCAACAGCGGTGGCCACGCCCTGAGCGACCCTGGGGGGACAGGCAGGGAGCCTTTGGAAGTGGGTGGGGAGACTGAGGCTCAGAGGGGCTCCCGCCCAGGACCGCCTGCCACACAAGTAGCAAGGGGCTGACCATCAGGCCGAAAGCGCCAGCTCCTGCCAACCCAGCTGGCCCAGAGGAACTGAGACCCTCTGCCAGCTCTTTGCAGATCGCCTCCATGCCTGAGGGAGCCCACCCACTGGTCCTGAATTGCTGCCATTTATAACACACTGTCCCCGGGGGTGCGGGGGCAGGGGCGGGGTGCCCCCTCTCCAGCGGCTGGGGCTTGGCCTTTCCTCTGCCCCCTGCAGGGCCCTCCCCACGGGCACTGGTGCTCAGCAGGCGCTGTGCTGGCAGCTGAAGGGAGACTGTCCCGTCTGGTGATGGTCCCGACTCTCTCCGTCCTGGCCATGCCCCGGCCCCGAGCGCCCTTTCTCCCCGCTTTCTACTCAGCTGACACCTGCTCACCTGGGCACAGGTGGCACCAGCCTGGAGCCCGAGCCCACCCGTGGGCTCCCGCAGGGACCTGGATCCCCGTGAGCTCCCACTGCGCGCTCTGTCCGGCTCACTCACTACCTGGTCCTCAGCACCCAGTTCCGGGCCTGACACAGGGACCATGCTCAGTAAGTGCTTGTTGGATGGATGATGGATGGACGGATGGATGATGGACAGATGGATGATGGACGGACGGACGGGCGGAACAGAGAAGGGGCAGAGAGCGCAGGGAGGCCAGGGCTGGAGCCGGGGCCGTGCAGACCTTGTTGTAGAGGGCGCAGATGTGCAGCGCCGTGTTCCCCGAGGCGTTCTGGGCTCCGGGCTCAGCCCCGTAGAAGAGCAGGTGCTCCAGGTGCTGGGAGTGACCCCGCTGGCAGGCCTGGGGGGACAGGAGCCGCAGGGGCCGGTTAGACCCACGGCCCTGCTCCCTTCGGACCCTGTTCCCTCTTGGCGACCCCGGTCGTCGCCTCACCTGTCATTCCGAGGCCCAGGCGTCCGGCCTGGCCGCTCAGAAGCCCCAGGAGCCGTCCCCGCCCATGTTCCCTCGGGGTTCCGGTGTCGACACCCCCATCGCTTCCTCTTTGGGGGCCCTGTGCCCTGACCTCCACCCTCCGTGAGGCCCCTAGCATCTGATCCCCAGCCCCTCGGACCAGGGTCCCTGATCCGTGCCCCCCTGTGGGCCCAGGCACCCTGCCCCGTGCCCAGCGCGCCCCCCGCCCCCAGCCCAGGCGGGAGCACCTGGTGGATCTCTTGCCAGCCGTTCTCATCAGCCACGCCCAGCTGGGCCCGGTTGTACAGCAGCAGCTCGCAGCAGCGGGGGTCGCCCCCCACCATAGCCGTGTGGAACAGAGGGGTCAGCCCCCGGCGGTCCTTATAGTTGGGGGAGCCCCCGAGATCCAGGAGTGCCTAGGAAGGGAGACAAGGCAGACAACAGTTGTGGGAGGACTGGCTCGTCCTGAAGAGCCAGCCGGGCGGGGAGTCCGGTGACCTCCACTGGCCAAGGCCAAGCTCAGTTCTGATGCCCTGTGCGACCTTGAGCCTGGCCCTTGCTCTCTCTGAGCCTCTCCCATCCCCAGTGAACCATGAGGGGACTGGGAAGAGGCCTGCAGACCAACCTTCCCCTAGGCCAGTGGTCGGCCAACTGCGGCTCGCGAGCCACATTCGGCTCTTTGGCCCCTTGAGTGTGGCTCTTCCACAAAATACCACGTGCGGGTGCACATGTACAGTGCGACTGAAACTTCGTGGCCCGTGCGCAGAAGTCGGTATTCTGTGGAAGAGCCACACTCAAGGGGCCAAAGAGCCGCATGTGGCTCTCGAGCCGCGGTGTACCGACCACTGCCCTAGGGCCTAGGGGGACGTGGGATGAGCTGTAGAGGGAACGCGGGGCCTCGTGCCCACCTACTCGGTGGGACGGCCGTGGGGACAGATGACAGAACTGAGTCTGGCCCCAGGAGGCCCCTGGCCAAGTGGGAGGTGTTACTGGGACCAAGATCCCAAGGATGGGGCCCAGGAGGAGGCCTTGGGAAGAGCGAGTTTGGGTCAGGGCCAGCGGGCCAGCCTCTCGGGGGCCAGGGGCCCTGGGGGCAGGGAGGGTCCATTCAAGGGACCCCTCTGGGCACAGAAGGCTGGAGGCATCTAGTGGTATCAGGACAGGGTTGGCGCGGCCCTGTGGGAGGACGGCCCACTGGGCGCCGTCCAATGGCACGCTCTGCGGCCGCGGCCACGGTCACAGCTGCATTGCCCAACTCAGCAACCACACGTGGCTAGAGAGCCCAGGAAGCCCAAGGTTTTTGTTTTTAAATATATTTCAGAGAGGAAGGGAGAGGGGGAGAGAGAGAGAAACATCCATGATGAGAGAGAGTCACTGATCGGCTGCCTCCTGCACACCCCACACTGGGGATGGAGCCCGCAACCCGGGCATGTGCCCTGACCGGGAATCAAACCGTGACCTCCCGGTTCAGAGGTCAATGCTCAACCACTGAGCCGCACTGGCCGGGCACCAGAAGCCTAAGTTTTGAGTTTTGTTCACTTTAGTCCATTTAGATGTAAACAGCCCAGGTGGCTAGTGGCTACTAGAACTGACAGGTCAGGTCTGGATCTGGGGGGAGGGCAGGGCACTGGGGGACATACGAGGGTCTGTGGGTTCCAGGGTATAAGAGGCTTGTTGGCAGGAGTTTGACTACGTTTGGGGTTCTTTTTCTTTTTAAATATATTTTTATTGATTTCAGAGAGGAAGGGAGAGGGACAGAGAGCTAGCAACATCAATGATGAGAGAGAATCATTGATTGGTTGACTCCTGCATGTCTCCCCCCTTCCCCCCTACTGGGGATCAAGCCCGCAACCCGGGCATGTGCCCTTGAACAGAATCAAACCCAGGGCCCTTCAGTCCGCAGGCCGACGCTCTATCCAATGAGTCAAACCAGCCAGGGCACGTTTGGGGTTCTTCAAAAAGGGGTTGGAGAAAGGGAGGTGGAGGGGGGCCCGTTAAGCTGGGCCACCTGTGGATCTGGGCGTTTACCCACAGCTGCGTATCTTTGGGGGTGATCTATCCTGGCCTGTGTGTGAAGAGGGCTCAAGCCCCCTCGGGAGGGGGTGGGAGGAAGGGAATAGCAGCCCTGGCCGCGTAGCTCAGTTGGATAGAGCATCATCCTGATACCCCAAGGTTCTGGGCTCGATCCCCGGTCAGCCACACAGAAGAATCAACCAATGAATGCAGAAACGAGTGCGACAACACGTCGATGTCGCTCTCCAATCGATATATTTAAGAAAAAGGGAAGAGCATCTTAAAATAAGACTGTGCAAGCTGACTCCGTGGATGTACTTTGTGGGTAGATGTGGCTCCTCTATTCGGGCGGAGGGGGCGTGTGCTTGGGGAGTGAACGCTGGGCTGGGAAGGGTAGAGGGGGCTGTGTTTGCAGGTGTGTGTGGAGGAGGGTCTCTACCCCTCAGGGACACAGGGACAGGGTGCTGCTGGGTCAGAGGGGGTGGGGGACACCGAGTATCTGGGTGTCGGGAGAGTCGTGTCATCTACCTGGGCCCAGGGGAAGGCCCGTGTGACGACCAGCTGTAGCGGGTCCTGAGCTGGGAGGTGGCTGCACCTGGGGCCTGAGCGGGGATCTCAGACCGGTGGGAGGCGTGACCATGGAGGGGGAGGGGGAGGGAGGGTCCGGGGCAGTGATGGCGAACCTATGACACACGAACTCATTTTTTTTGGTTGATTTTTCTTTGTTAAATGGCATTTAAATATATAAAATAAATCTCAAAAATATATGCCTTTGGTTTACCCTGGTTGCAAAGATCAAAAAATTTCTCTATGTGACACGGCACCAGAGTTAAGTTAGGGTTTTTCAAAATGCTGACACGCCGAGCTCAGAAGGTTCGCCATCGCTGGTCTGGAGCCATTTGCCGGGGACAGTCTGTGTGGGAAACACGGCAATTTGGGGGTGTCTCGGATCTGCGGGAGCGTCCTGGGGGGCTGGCGCCTCACCGTGAGAGCCAGGCAGTGGCGGGCACACGCGGCCTTGTGCAGGGCTGTCATGCCATCCCGGGCTCGGAAGTCGATGTGGGCCCCGCCCAGGCACAGGGTTCGAATCACGTCTACGGAGCCTTCCGTCTGGGCAGCCAGCGTGAGGGGGGTCTCTGAGGGTGAGACAGCCAGTCACATGCAGCCCCCAGGCCTGGTGCTGGGCGCCTCCCTGGAGCCCCTGACCCCGTCCCTACCTCCTGAATCCGAGTCGTGGTAATTGGGGTCCAGCCCCTTGTCCAGCAGCCGCGCCACCTTGTCAGACGTCCCGAGCTGCACGTATTCCAGAAACTTCTTCAGTCCGGTCTGGGTCGTGGACAAGAGAGAGGACAGGCCCGTGAGGGAGCCGGGGGTAAAGCTGGGGTCTCCGGTGAAATACACAATGAGCCACACAAGGCATTGGGAGTCCCTAGTAGCCACTTTTTAAAAAAAGAAAGGGGGCCCTGGCCGGTGTGGCTCAGTGGTTGAGCATCGACCTATGAGCCAGGAGGTCACGGTTCGATTCCCGGTCAGGGCAAATGCCTGGGTTGCGGGCTCGATCTCCAGTAGGGGGGCGTGCAGGCGGCAGCTGATCAATGATTCTCATCACCCATGTTTCTATCTCTCTCTCCCTCTCCCTTCCTCTCTAAAGTCAATAAAAATCAGTATAGATACGTTAAAAATAAATAAATAAAAAGAAAGGGGCCCCTAGCTGGTTTGGCTCAGTGGTTGGAGCATCGGCCCTTGGACCGAAGGGTCTCAGGTTCGATTCCCAGTGAAGGGCACACACTTTGGCTGCAGGTTCCCCAGCCCCGGTGCGAGCATGTGTAGGAGAAAACCAATCGATGTGTCTCTCTCACATCAATGTCTCTCTCTCTCTCTCTCTCTCTCCCCCTCCTCCCTCCTTTCCACTCTCTCTAGGAATCAGTGGGAAAATATATCCTTGGGTGAGGATAAAAAAAAGAATAGAAAGGAAAGGAAAACAAAATACAGGGAACAGCATGGCTGGATAGCTCAGTAGGTTAGAACATGGTCCTGATACACCAAGGTTGTGGGCTTGATCCCCGGTCAGGGCACATACAAGAACCAACCAATGAATGCATCAGTAAATGGAACAACAAATTGATGTTTCTCTCTCCCTTCCCCACCCCCCTTAAATCAACCAATAAATAAATAAAACTTTTTAATTTTAAAAAATGCCTTGGCTGGTGTGGCTCAGTTGGTTGAGGGTCATCCCTTGCACCAAGAGGTCACAGGTTCAGGTCAGTGCACGTGCCCAGGTTTTGAGCTTGATCCCCAGCAGGGGGCGTGCAGGAGGCAGCTGACCAATGTTTCTCTCTCATCCATGTTTCTTTGAAGTCTGGCATGCATTTCACTCTCAGAGCCTGGCTAAGCGCGGGGACCCACTACACTTGCACGTGCTGGGGAGCTGTCTGTGGCCGGTGGCTCCCGCAGCGGACAGCACAGGTGTGGAGGGGTGGAATATTGGGGGGAGGACTAGGCTGAATGCATGCTGGCGGGAGATGAGGAGGAATCCCCAAATGACAAGGATCCTTCACTTCACTGTTTTTTGTTTTTAATATGTTTTATTGATTTTTTTTACAGAGAGGAAAGGAGAGGGATAGAGAATTAGAAACACCAATCAGCTGCCTCCTGCACACCTCCCACTGGGGATGTGCCTGCAACCAAGGCACATGCCCTTGACCGGAATCTAACCTGGGACCCTTGAGTCCACAGGCAGACGCTCTACCCACTGAGCCAACCGGTTATGGCCACTTCACTGTTTTTTAAAATTTTTTTTTTTTTTTATTGATTTCCAAGAGGAAGGGAGAGGGAGAGAGAGAGAGAAACATCAATGATGAGAGAGAATCATTGATGGACTGCCTCCTGCACGCCCCCTACTGGGGATCGAGCATGCAATCTGGGCATGTGCCCTGACGGGGAATCTAACTGTGACCTCCTGGTTCATAGGTCAACGCTCAACCACTGAGCCACACTGGCCGGGCTTCGCTTCACTGTGGACCAAAGCAGCCCCCTCGTCCTAGCTGGTTTGGCTCAGTGGATAGAGCATCAGTCTGCGGACTGAAGGGTCCCAGGTTCGATTCCGGTCAAGGGCATGTACCTTGGTTGCAGGCACATCCCCAGTGGGGAGTGTGCAGGAGGCAGCTGATCGATGTTTCTCTCTCATCGATGTTTCTAACTCTATCCCTCTCCCCTCCTCTCTGTAAAAAATCAATAAAATATATTTTAAAAAAAACAAAACACAAAAAACAAAGCAGCCCCCTGGCTTCCTCCCAGCTTTTCGGGACCAGCAGAGACACATGGTCCGAGCACGGGAAGGCAAGGGGCCTGGAGGACAGAAGTGGCTGGGGACGGGCATCCCTGGACCGGGTAGAGATTAGGCCATGGGATTGGGGGACTCGGGGAACCTACGAATCAACCCCAGGCAGAGGGGCACTGGGCGTCACAGTCCAGGCTGAGGAGGGTGAGGGACCCTGCATGGGTATGAGGGACCCAGGAGGTGGGACAGGACAGTCCAAGCATGAAGACGGTGGGAGCCAGGCAGATGCGGTGTGGGCCGGGGCACAGGAATGAGGGGCACAAGGGGAGGTTCAGGAGTTACGATACGGGGAGGGGGGGCTGGGGGGCTGTCCTGGCAGAGGAACAAAAGGGTCGAGGGATGTGGAGGGCTGTCAGGAAGAGGTGGGGGAGGCAGGGGCTGGGGAGTGGGCTCCGGGCAGGGCACAGGGAGATGGGGGGGGGGGGGCAGGTGCCAGCAGGGTCCTCTCACCTTTGTGTGCAGCTTGGCCAGCTGCTTCTCGTCCAGGTTGGTCTGTTTGTAAACGCGGGTCTTGTACCGGAACTGAGGCGAGGGGCGGGGGAAGGGAGGCAGAGGCCAGAGTCAGGGCCTGGGGAGGAGGCCGGACTCCCGCTGAGCTCAGGGCCAGGGTGCAAACAGCCGCGGCCTGGGCTGGGTGGGCAGAGGGGCACAGGCCGGCTGTGGGGGCGCAGACCGGCTGTGGGGGCGCAGGCTGGCTGTGGGGGCGCAGGCCGGCTGTGGGGGCGCAGACCCGCTGTGGGGGTGCAGGCCCACTGTGGGGGCGCAGACCCGCTGTGGGGGCGCAGGCCGGCTGTGGGGGCGCAGACCCGCTGTGGGGGCGCAGGCCTGCTGTGCAGACTATCAGGGAATGATCTCAAACACCTGCTAAAACTAGGAATCCTTCCCCAACGTGACGGGCGAGGAGAAGCCTGGAGCTGGGACGTGACTTCCCCAAGGCCTCTCTGCCGCTCAGAGAACCGACGGTCACTTGGACTTGGGCCTCTCTGACTCTTAGGTGGTTCTCAGGGGCCCGGAGATCCCGAAGGTTCCTTGCTCAGGTCTTGGCAGGGAGGGAAACGGGGTGGGGGGGGGGGGCAGCTGTGTGGCGGGACACGCCTCCTCTCACCTGGGAAGGCTGTGGGGCTCACCTCCAGGTAGGGCACCCCCTTCTCGAAGGACTGGGGGTACTCCCGCAGCAGCCGCTCCTCCTCCAGGAAGTTGGCGTCGCGGCCCGAGGTGGCGGGCTGGAACAGGCCGTAGTTGAGCACGTCCTGCAGGCTCTCGCTCAGGGCGCAGAGCACCTGCTGCTTGGCCGTCCAGATGGTGGCGTCAGGGTTGAAGCGCAGACATTTCTGGGGGGGAAGGGGGGCGACAAGGCCGCAGGGCGGGGCCTGAGCGGGCTGGGGAAGCGGGTGGGGGGGGGGGGATGCTGGAACAGGTGGGGGGTCTGGGGGAGCAGGAGGGGGGTCTGGAATCGAGGGCCAGGCGGCGGGGGGCCTCCGGGGGCAGGTCGCTTACTGTCTGGTGCAGGTCCGGGATGCCGATCCTGAAGACCATCATGCTGAAGTGGGCGTCGTCCAGGGCAGACATGGAGCGGCCCTGGAGGCCTCCGGCCGAGGCCAGGCTACCAGGTGCCCCGCTGCCCCGGCCCCGGGTCCCCTGGAGGCCTCTCCCGGGCCCGTCTGGGGAGCTGTCGGACTCCGAGCCGCCCTCGGGACACTCGCTGGCGCTGTGGTGTTCCTCGTCCTCGCTTGAGGCGGGGCTGTGGGTCATCGTGGGGACACGGGGCGATGGGGGACGGCAGCATCACAGGTCGCTGTGGGGGGGTGGGGGGCCAAGGGCGGCGGTCAGCCTCGGAGCCCCAACCCTCCAAAGGCCCCAGGCACACTGGGCGGCCCAGGAGTCAAGGCCAGCGGGCCCCACGCTGCCGGAGGCGGGCAGGCCCGAGGCCGGAGGCTGGACACACCCCCAGACGCTCCGGCCGCCTGTGCACACACCCCCATCCCTGCCACGCTGCCAGCACATGTCTCCTTCCCTGCCCTTGGCCCTGCTCGCAGCCCCCGCCCCGCCTGCGCCCCAGTTTGCCGCTGGGTCAGCGTGCTGGTGTCCCAGAAACCGCAGAATCACCGCGGGAGCTACTGGCCCACTTTGCCAGGCCACGGAAAATGCAGCTAAAATTAGCCGAGGACAGACAGGTGGACGGCCCACCGGCACCCTGCCCTCCTGGCCCCAGCCTGGCCCCTCAGCCGAGGCCTCCCACCCTCTCCCTGGCTAAGGAGGCGGGGTGGGGGGAGGGGGCTATGGGGCTGAGATGTAGTAAGGGAAACGGGGAGGTGTCATGAGCCCGGGGCAGCGGGAGCAGGAGGCCACGTGGTGCCCGGAGAGGGTGGAGCCGGTGACTTCACTGAAGTGTGGCTGCAAAGGTGTGCTGGGGGACCAGTGTCCCAGGGGCACCGGGAAGGGGTGCCATGGGGCGGAGCATCATGCATGGGGTGTCCCTGAGGGAAGCACAGCAGGCGGCCTGTGCAGGTTGCTGGGGGCCTCTTAGGAGGGTGTGTGGGGGGCTGGGGAGGCGGCCTGGGAGGGCTGTCCAGGGGGCAGCAGTGTGGTGGCCTGTGTCGGTGGGGGGGGGGGGGGTGATTTGTGGGCATGTTTGAGAACTGGCGATGCAGGGTGGGCGGACCAGCACTGCCTGGCACTGGTGGCCCCACGCTGAGGGAGACTGGGGCTGGGAGCCCTGAGTGGGGTGAGGGTCCGGGGACTGGGGTGCGGTCATCTCCCAATCCTTACTTTTCTCCAATGAGGCAGCCTTAGGGAAGTGGGTCCCCAATGGGGTCCGCCTGGCTCATCTTCTCCCCCGCTCCTACCCCAGCACCGGAAACCAGAATGTCTGGTCTGGTCCCTCCCCACCCCCCCCCCCCCCCACACCAGGCCCAGCTCCTGCACCGTTGCCATGGAGATGGGAAGCAGTGGAGGGTACTGCTGACTTTGGGGGAGTGGGGATGGGCTGGCGGGGTTGGGGAGGGAAGGCAAAATGCGAGGAGACTTCCAAGAGCTGTGGGCGAGCCAGCAGCACCGCCGGCCAACCACTCCCCCACGCGAGCTCGGGCCCGTGCGGCTCCCGCCCCGCCAGGTACCGGGCGGCGCGGCCCCACCTCGCCCTGGCGGAACCCCGCGGAACCCCGCGGAACCCCGGCCTCCCCCCGGCTCCGCGCGACTCCACCCCGCACCTCCCAACAGGGGGCCCGCGGCCACTCCCCCTCGGCCGGCCCTGGCTGCCCGCCAGCCTCACCCCGGCACCAACGGGGTCGCCCCTGGGAGGAAGGCGGAGCTGGCCCGGCCGCGGCGCGCGGGGGCGCTGCCCGCCACCCCGGGACCACGCCGGCCCCTCCCCCTGCGGCCCGAAGGAGGCAGCGGGCACACGCCGCCGGGGCGGCATGAATCAAACGCGCGGCGGCTAAGAATAGCTGGCACGCAGCTGGCACCGAGACGGGCTGGCAACCGGCGCGGGGGGGATGGAGCGAGGGGGCGCCCGGGGAGCTGCCGGGGTCGGCGCCGGCGGGGAGGCCGGCGGGGGACCCGGGAGAAGGGAAGGAGGCGGCGGGAGGCGGGAGAGGGAGCGGGCCGGGGCCGAGGAGCCCGCGGGGGAGAGCCCGGCGGGAGAGGGGGCGGGGGCCCGGCAGCGGGACTCGGGGGCGGGCGCCGAGGGGGCGCGCCGGCCGGCGGAGAAGGGAGAGGCGGCGGCGGGTGGGGAAGGGGCGCTGGTGACGCGGGCGGAGCGGCTCGGAGGAGCCGGAGGGAGAGGCAGGACCTCGAGGGGGGTCGCGGGGGGCGAGGGAGGCCGAGGCCAGACCCCCGCTGCGGGGGGTGGGCGCGGGGTGGCCGGGGGAGGGGCCCGCGCGGCGGCCGGAGAGCTCCGGGGCGCAGGCGGCGGGTGGGGAGGCGGGGGAGTGGCCGGGCCGGGGGTTCCGCTGGCGGGGGTGGGGGCGCATCCTCCCATCCAGTCGGCGATCTGGGACGGGGCACGGGGGACCCCGGCGCAACCCAATTTGGCGTCGCCCGGGGCAACGGTCCCCTCCCGAACCCCCACCCCCCACCCCGCACCGCACGCCCGGGGCCGGGAGCCCGACGCGCGGCCAAGGACGTCCGGGCGCCCCCGCCCCCTCCGGCCTCCCCAGCCCCGCGGCGCCCCCCGAACCCCCGGCTCCTCGGGCCTCTTACCTGCCTGGCGGGGCTGCTGAGTCCCGGTCGGCGGCGCCCGCAGCCCCTCCCCCCTCCCCCCACCCCCCACCCCCCCGGAGGCGGAGGACCCTCAGGCCATGCCCCACCGCCCCGGAGGGCGAGCGGGCCGGGGCGGGGGCGGGCGGGGGCCGGGGGGAGGGCGGGGGGGCCGCGGACCTCACCCCCCCCCGCGGACCGGGCCTGGCCGGCCGCAGAGCGTCCCCTTTCAGCCGCGGCCGCCGCGCCCCTCCCGGCTTCGCCCGCCCCCGGCTCCGTCCGGCCGCTCCGGGCGCCGCGGCTCCGCCGGCTCTTCCTCCTCCTCTTCCTCCGGCCGCCGCCGCCGCCCGCTCCGTGCCTCCTCGGTCTCCCTTCTCGCTCTCTCGCTCTCGCTGTCTCTCCCTCACCCGGTCTCTCTCTCGGTCTCCCTCCCTCTTTCCCTCCCTCCGCCCTCTCCCCTCCCTCCGGGAGCCGGCAGAGGAGACATCGCCCCTCCCCGCGCCCCCAAACCTCGCCCATCCCCCCCCACCGCCGGCTCCGCCCCCTGCCCCTCCCCTCCCCCACTCCTCCTCCTCCTCGCCACCAGATCCCGAACCCGGACTCCACCCCTGCTTGCCCCCAAACCCCGACCAGGGGGCCCCGCCCCCTAACGGTACCCCCTCAACACCCCAGGACCACCCCTTCCCAGAGCCCCTCCCTCCCTCTCTACACACAGTAGGGCGCAAGTAATCTTGGTGGCTGAGCTCTGCGCCCTCAAATTGGATGCCGAGAGCTACAGACTCCCAGACTCCCGTGCTGTCCCCCTAAACGCGCACACACCCCTTCTCCCAGGACACAGGTGCAGGGAGTCGCTAGCTGGCCCTGCAGGTGCAGCGTCCCCACATGCACATACTCTGCAGGGCGTGCGCGGGGACCTACCTGAGGGTACGCTTCCACACACACACTCAGCACGTGTGACGTGTACGCAGCACACCTGTGCGCCAGGGCACACAGGCAGCACAGCATGCGTTAGCGCCCCACGCAGGCGCCCCACGCAGGACAGGCACCCCGTGTGCACCCTCGGGTCTCCAACTCACACGCACCCCCTAAGCTGACACACAGGGTAGGGAGACGTGTCCCTCCGTCCCCCATCACACCCACCCACCCACCCACCTCACCCTCCACCACCCAGGTGTGCACACGCCCGTTTGGATGCGGGCACCGGGCCACAGCTGCCCTGCCTGATGAATGCTGGCATTTCAGGAGCACTTCCTGTGTGCCGGGCTCCGGTCTGGACTTACTGCTGGGTTGGACTTCTCCCACCAATCCATGGGCCAGGTAGGGACAGTCGCCATCCCCGTTTTCCAGAGAGGGAAACTGAGGTTCAGAGAGGCCAAGCAACCTACCCAAGGCCACCCAGGTGGTGCCAGGGATCAGGGACAGGTAGGCGCGGACTCAGAGGCTCAAAGTCTTCACACACCCCTATTGTGCATATGCACCATGGCTGCACATTCTCACAGCTCAGCAGGCTGGTGCCCGCCCCCCCCCCACCCCCGTTGCACCCACAGAGTCAGGGCTTCCATGAAATCGCCTCCAGAGCCCAGCCTTCTCCCCTTCTCCCAGCTCCAACAGCACCCCCAGGGCCACCAGCCAGGGCACAGGCGCCGGTGCTGGGCATCTCCAGCTGCGGGCTCTGGGTGCCTCTGCTGGAGCTGCAGCAGGTGCCGGCCCAGCTCTGGGAGGCCCCCCTCTGGTGCACCCCCAGCCAGCGACCCAGGTGGTGAGCAGCTGGGCCCTGGGAGAGAACAGCTGCCCTGGCGGGTGCCAGCAGCGAGAGAGGCTGTGCGTCCGTCTACAGTTTACGAGGCCTGTCCCGGTCTGTGCGTCAGGTCTGGAGGCCTGTAGCTGCTGGGGAAGGGGTCCTCGGAACCCTCAGGGGCACCGGGGAGGTACCGGCTCTGATGTGGCAGCAGCCTGCCCAAGGTCACGCTGCCCTCCGCTTCCTTGGAAGAGGGCAGCCTGGGTGCCTTGGTTTCCGAGGCCCCTCCTGGGACTCCCAGCAGCCACGGGCAGGGGCCCCGCTCTTGCGTAGAGCCAGAAGCCTTGGCCAGCTGCCTGCATGCCGGTGACCTCCGGCGGGCTGCTGGCCCCTCTCTGAGCCTTGGTTTCCTCCCTTGAAGAGTGGGCCCTGGCATCCCTGGCCGGTGAGCTCCATGCTTGCTGGCACCACCGGCCAGGCCAAATGGGGGAAAGCCCTGCATGAGTCACGAGTCTGGCACAGAGTGGGCATGGCCTGGCCTCTTGCTTCTCTTGCCTGTGCATCCATCCTCTCTCCCTCTGCCCTCACCACCTCGTCCACCCTGGCCGCCCCGACCCTTTCCCATGCCCCTCTGCCTGGGCCTCAGGGTGCCATTTGAGCACAACAGTCGAGCTTCCCATGGAGGGGCTGTTACTGTGGTGCCATGAGTGGCTACTTCCTTTCTCACTCGGCACCTGAGTGAGCACCTACTATGCGCTAGGTTGGCCCTGTTCTAGCTCTGGGGATCCAGCGATAAACAAGAACCCCTGCCTTCATTGGCAGGAGACAGGCGACAGCCAACCAACCAACCAAACAAACAAACAAACCAGACAACGCCAGTCTTGAGTATACTGAAAAGATCAAAGGGGGTGTTTTAATAAAATAATTTGCAGAAGTGAAGCTTCTTTTTAAAAAAAAAAAAAAATTTATTGATTTTAGAGAGGAAAGAAGAGGGAGAGATAGAAACATCAACGATGAGAGAGAACCATTGTTCCGCTGCCTCCTGCACACCCCCTACTGGGGATCAAGCCCAAAACCCAGGCATGTGCCCCTGACTGGAATTGAACCCGGGACCCTTCAGTCCACAGGCCGACGCTCTATCCACTGAGCCAAACCAGCCGGGGCAGGAGTAGAGCTTCTTTAGATAAAAGTCAGGAAAGGCCTCTCCGGGCTGAGATGTGGGGAATGAGAAGGGGCTGAGCCACAGAGCCTTGTTCTAGAAGGCTGAAAAGACTAGTGCGAAAGCTAGGAGGTGGGAAGAAGCTCAGCATTCAGGAAATAGCCAAGAGGCTACCCACACTCCAGTGTGGCTGGATCCTAGGGGGCAGGGGCGTGGGGGTGATGAGCTTGCAGGATTGCAAAGGACCCGCCCTCCCCGGCCCCCTGCGGGGCTGGCCAGACCCTGGCCAAGGGCAGGGTTTGGCTTCTCCTCTGCCTGTGATGGGAAGCTGGGGGAGCAGGGGAGTGGGGAGTGACAGGCTCTGATTTACAGTTTGGAAGCATTGCTCTGGCTGCGGCAAGCAGCGTGGATTGGAGGGGCTAGGGAGGAAGGAGGGGGCGAGCAGGAGGAGGCGACTGCAGTGGTCCAGGCTGGAGAGGAACCTCGCTGACTGCTCAGAGCTCTGTAGGCACCCAGCCCAGCACCTGTCCGCTCCACCTCCTGGAGAAAGCATCCTTGACCACCCCCACCCCCCCTCACCTCACCCATCCTCGTCCCTCCCCTCTGCCCTAGCCCCTCACCCAGTGGGACGGTCTGTTGTCTGCCTGTCTGGAGTCCCCAGTCACCAAGGAAGGGCCTGGTCTGCAGGCTTCCAGAAAAACGTATGGGAAATGAATCCCAGAGGCCGGCCTCCTGAGGCTGCACACACAACCACACGCATGCTCCTCGTAGGTGTCCCACACACTCAACTTGCATCTTGGGGCAAGAGTGTGGAGGGTGGGATGGGAGATCTGGGGGAGACGGTGCCCTAAAGCCTGAGAATGGTGGGAAAGCCTCGTCCAGCAGGGTAATAACCTTGGAGAGACCCCGCAGTCCCCCCCTCTGTGAGGAGTGGCCAGGGACATGGGGGTGGGGGTGGGGGAGTAGGGAAGAGGGGCGGGGTGCAGGGGCCCAGCCCAACAACCCCCCTGAGGGGGTTCCCGGTAGAGGCTGTGTCCGCAGGATCCCTTGGAGAGCTAGCTCCGTGCTCCTCCTGCCCATCAGGGCGTTTGGCCCGGGCAGAAGGAAAGAATGGGGCGGAGTGAGCTCTGGAAAGTGGGAAGAGGAGGGAGTGAGGGGAGACCCAGGGCAGGATCCAGGCTTTGGAACGTTGGAGGTTTCCGGCCACAGAGGCAGGGAGGGCCTCAGGGGAGCCAAGAGAGGCGGGGAGAGACACACATCGAGGAACTGAGACCAAGAACAGAGACAGGCGTTGGGAGGAGAGGGACCAGGGAGGAGCTGGGAGAGGTGGGGACCGGGGGGCAAGTGATCTGGACACACTCCAGTCCCCAGAGACACCCCCTCCTCAGAGACATTTGTCCGCAGCCTTGGGTGCTGCGAGCCCGCCCTGATGCAGGCAGCCTGGCTCCTTGGGGCCCTGGTGGTCCCCCAGCTCCTGGGCTTCAGCCATGGGGCTCGAGGAGCCGAGAGGGAGTGGGAGGGGGGCTGGGGAGGCGCCCAGGAGGAGGAGCGAGAGAGGGAGGCCCTGATGCTGAAGGTGAGTGGCTGGGGGGGATGGTGGCCGGGACCAGCATGGCCCTGGGAGGGGCTGTTGCAGGATCAGGGAACTGGGCCAGCGGGAGGGATGGGAGAGGCCCGGAGGATGGGGGTGATGGGCTCACAGGAGGGACTCGAGGGCAGTGAGCCAGATTGCAGCTGGAGAGGGGGTGGTTGGAGCATCTGGGGAGTCAGAATGGGGCGACGGGCTGTCCCTGGCCATCCCTCCCCTGCCTCAGCATTTACAGGAGGCCCTGGGGCTGCCCGCTTTGAGGGGGGACGACAATCTTGAGGGAACCCCTGAAGACAAAGGGGCCTCGGAGACTGAGGAGGGCCAGCAGGAGGAGGAAGAAGAGGAGGAAGCAACGCCGATCCCCTCCTCCAGCCCCAGCCCCAGCCCCTCTCCCACCCCGGAGGACGCCATCACTTACATCCGTGAGTTATCATTAGGTCTGCCCTGCCCGCCAGGCCTCCACCATCATTTGCACCAAAATGAACCGTCCTGTCGCTACCGGGGGAAGCTTTCAATTGCTCACGGCCCAGCCCGTCTCGCCCACAACCCTATGAGCTCTGGGTCCCGGCCTTGCCTCCC